AAAATCCCTCTGTCCTCACTTTTTGAGTCGACTCAAAAATCGTCCCTCTGTCCTCGCTCGTCTCCTCAACCTTCCTCTTCCCTTCACCCTGCATGCCATGATGCCACCCTGATGTTGCAGGGTGTTTTGCATATGCTCATAAACACCCTGCATGCCACCCTGTGCTAACCTTCCCTCCCACCCCCCACAGCAACATCTCCTACAACTATTTCACGGGGTATTTACCCAAGATCGGGTTTCTAGGCGAGCTAAAATCCACCGACCTCTCCAACAACTTTTTTTTCGGGTCAGCCAACGACGGCACCGACAGCATCGGGCTGCCCCTCTGCCCGGACCCTCCCACCTCCTCCTACACAATCGCCCAGAACTGCCTTTTAAACCTGGCAAACACCTGCTCTGCCATATCCGGGCTGACAGTGAGTTTTGTGGAGCCTCAAAAGACGGAGGATGAGTGCTTTGTGTTTTGTGGGACAAGCCTTGCGATGCCGATTTTCCCGAACCAGCAGTGCGGGTATGAGAAGGGCATGTGTGTGGCGAATCTGAGCGGCAGCGGGGTGCTGTTCTACCAGTGCCAGTGCACGGCGCCGTTCATCCGTACTGCCGACGCCAAGTCCTGCGACCTTCCACGTGAGTCCCCGTCCCCTGCCTGCCCTTTCTTCTGTTTTCGAATCTGAGCGGCAACGGGGTGCTTTTCTACCAGTGCCAGTGCACAGCACCGTTTGTCCGTTCTGCAGACGCCAAGTCCTGTGACCTGCCACGTAAGTCCCCGTCTCCTGCCTTCCCTTCCTTCTGTTTTCGAGTCTGAGCGGCAACGGAGTGCTCTTCTACCAGTGCCAGTGCACGGCGCCGTTTGTCCGTACTGCAGACTCCAAATATTGCGATCTTCCATGTAAGACCCTTGTGAAGATATTTTCTCTTCTTCCCCCCTCTCCCCACTCCGCCTTTTGAGACGTCTCAAAAATCTTCCATGTAAGACCCTTATGAAGATATCTTCTCTTCTTCGCCCCTCTCCCCACCCCTCACACCCTCCACCCCACACGCCCCTCCTTACCCTTTCTGACGTCCCAATAGCTCAAGTTCCATGGAAGAAACAGCATTAGCTAAGAGTGCATTATCTGATTCTCTCACTCTCTCTCCTCTTGATGTGGCTTCCTCTCCTCTATCAGACTGCACGATCGGATTTTCTCGCTCTCTCCTCCTCTCAGATCTAATCAGTCAACTCACTCTGATCTCGTTATGATTTCCCTTTGTCTTCTGTGTTTATGTTTCAGCCAGCCCACCACCACCGCCGCCATTTCCACCAGGGCCCCTCCCACCCTCCCCTCCCCCCTCCCCACCTCCAAAATCTCCTCCTCCTTCCCCCCCGTTACCTCCCAGCCCCCCTCCTAGGCCTCCCCCATCTCCTCCTAACCCGCCCCCCAACCCCCCACCTCCCCCCTCTCCTCCCCCTCCCTCGCCCCCATCGCCTCCCCCTTTCCCACCTCCTGCACCTTCCCCCCCTCCTCCGCCCACTGTGCTTCCACTCATTGATTGTTATATGTCGAGCCTTACTGACAGCTGCGAGTGTTTCTGCCCATTCTTTAACCAATGTTATTGCCAGTAACGATTTACTGGACCTTGATTATCCAGTACCTCGTGCATGATTGTTCTTTCAATCTTAATGCACATTTGCGCTATATCGAATCTAGTGTAAAAGCAGCATATCTTTGAGCTTTATCAAGGATCAGCGCTCTTGGCGCGGAAACTGCGGTCCATACACTTTTCGCTACTGCTTATCGCGAATGCGGGAGGGGCCTATCACGGTCGAGAAAGAGATGCCTGTGCATCGCTCGTGCTCGGCTCCCCACCTGCGTAAAATTTTGTCTTCCCACTTTTCACGTGCGGCAGCGCTTGTTTCCAGGCCCTGAAATGTGCCCTCCCATCACGCGTGGTACTTTCTGAAACTGTTTTGAGAGAGAAGCCGAGCTGTACATTACCACTGGAGGTACCAACCCAACCACCCAAATTTACTAGTTTCGGAAGTGTAGCTCCTGAGTCAGGGCAGTTTGAAAGTTGTCATGCTGGCAGAAAGCCCGTCAATGACAATCTTGGAAGGGGAAATGGCGCATCAGTGGGTTGGGGGGGAACATGTGGGCGCAATCACATGTTTCACATGCTGTCCGTCACCCACCAACACACCACCACCGCTACACCACACCACACCATCTTGCTTTCCTTCCAAAAGTGGTGGTTTGCTGCTGGCGGACAGCTGGATTTGCGCGCACAGCCTCACGAGCGGAGCGGAGAAAATCCAATGGGAGGTGGTGGTGAGTTGGCTGTAATGCCCAAACTGCAGAAATGTCGATGTGCGAGGTCCCATGTGCGGAACGCATGTGAGAGTTGTTTATTGGCAATGGGTGCTTTCCTTTCTCGTCTCCCCCCGCTTTCGGGAATGGTGCCCACCCGCTCTCTCACTGCACCAAAAAGCGAACCAGAGTGAAATACAGTGCAGAATGTTTACAATCAGGCCAATATTTATGGCCCTTATCTTCATCGTCTTGCCCCTTTCGATACATCCGGTCCGGTGACAACCACAGTACACCCCATTCACCTGCGGCACCCGGAGGGTTCCATGCGGCTTTTGTGCGATATGATGGAAAGAACGGTCAATTGACAAATTATTCCGCTAGGCGACGCTGGAGGAAACTCGTTCCTCCAACAGGGGGAGTTGGAGCATAAGTTTGCTCCAGCAACCGGATGGAGTGGAAAGAACGGTCAATTGACAAATTATTGACTGATCCGAGGCCATTGCTTGAGCTGGCGAGTTCAAACGTCAACACCACCATGCACATACAGAATACCGCCATGCCATGCCATCCGTCTCCATTTGTGCGTCACCGTCACCTGTGCGTCGCAATAAACGCAAATGCTGCTTCATCGGCACGTTCTTGACACCATCGCCACCCGGCTGATCCTCATCAAGTCGCCAGCGCAACCACGCGTGCTTCTGTTCCAGCGGATTTTACGGAACGCTCGTGACTCGTCCACCAGTGTGCCTACATTTTGCTCGTCTCGCCCGCGCATGCTTCTGACTCCAGCAGTATGCCTGGGACACGGAGATTGGACGCGTACGAGCCGTCGATTATCAGAAGAAGCACTAGACATTTCCCAATCACGATAATCTTCCGAACTACAGAAACATCACAAACAAGGCGCATCGACGATGGTGATTGCAGGGAAGCAACAAACAAACCACCCTCACCAACCCACTTCACGCAAACCCCAACCTAAGGCACTGGAAGAGAACAAAACAGACCTGCAGAATTCTGGAAGTCAAGTCGCTGCACGGCAAGGAAAACGCAAATACATTCAGCTCTGGAAGAAACGATAGGTTGAGCAATAGCTTTTCCACGCCTAGCAGGCATGATAGAGCTAGGCTAAGCCAGAGCTAAGAGAATTCTTTCGCTCTCGCGCTGCCCTCTCCCATTTCTTCAGAATTCTTGTGCAATTTGCACCGTCAGATATTAGTATAACATTTGAAGTCGATTTTGGCGCCGGAGATGGATAGAGACGCCATACTAGCGTCTCTCCGTGCATTGTCCACGTCGCCGTTTCTTGCGCCGGGCGCTACAATCACACCGCCTTTACTCCCCTTCGGTATAGCCACTCCTCCGTCCCCCTTCACTCCCCTCGCTCCGCCTTCGTCCCCTTTCGTCGCCGCTTTCGGGGCGAGCCCTTTCGCGACGAGTCCTATTGCGTGCGCAAACTTTGCGAATTTCGCAAATCTCGCGTTACAGCAGCACCAGCATATTCCTGACCTCGCATTCCCCAGCGCCGCGCACGCTCAACCCCCGCTCGGTCGGAGCTCCCCTCACGCGGACGCCTTCTCAAAAAGCCCGCGGCCAGCGCCGCCGCGCCGCGAAATCTTCGAGGCAGAAACGGCTATATTTCGAGACAACCCCGCGCCGCGGAAAGCCCCGTCGCCGCCTCAGCCGCCGCGCAGATCCCCCTCGCCTCCTGCGCGGAATCCACGGGAGGAAATGGGGCCGCCGGCGCTTTCCTCCCGCAGTGGCGGAAGCGACACTGATTGGCGCAGCGGCGGAAGTGACAGCCCCGCCGGTGACCGCAACTGGCGCACTGGCGGAATTGGCCGCTTCAATGGCGGAAACGACCGTTCTGCCGGCGCCGCCGGCGACTTCGCGGAAGTCGCAGCCGCCGGGATGGTTCCGGCTGGCGAAGGGCGGATCTCCGGCGTGCGACATTCCGTGCGACGACGTGGCGACGATCGTTCGCTCGTGCGACCAGACGCCGGAGGCCAGGCGGTGCAAGGCTCGGGGGACGGAGACGCAGGAGACGGAGTCGGAGACGGAAACGGAAGCGGAGACGGAGGCGTCAGAATGTTAGAGTGGCGACGCGGATTTGGGCAGCAACAGCAGCAGGAGCATCAGCAACAACAGCGGCAGCCGCAGTTGCCGTTGTTACCGCAGCTGCCAGCGAGAAACGTTCTTCAGTCAGCTCACGCCTTCGCCGAAGTGGCTCCACAAGCTAATTACCCTGGTGCAAAGCGAGCACAACCCTGGGAAGCCCTGGAAAACATCGGGCAATTCACCCCGGAAAAACGCGCAAGGGTGGAAGAGCGTGACCAAATTTTCCGTCGGGAGTGGGCTGCCCGTGACGGCGTTGAGGGAAGGGATTGTGCGGTTGAGATGGGCGGGAGGGATGGGCGGGTAGTCGCGAAACACTTGGAACGGGCAGCTGGGGCAAAAAGGGTTATTGTTCCCACAGAGAGCCTGCAGAAGCGGCTTGGGCAGCAAATCGAGGCGCGGATGCGGGGGAAGAGACCAGGGGGAGGGGGGGAACGGAGGGGCGAAGGTTGGGCGCAAGGGGGAACTGCGGGGGTAGGGGGGAATTTCCGCGGGGATGTAATGAGAGGGGGGGAGGGGGGAAGGCCAGGGGAACGAGCGGAAGAGCAGGGGGAAAGGCGGGGGGAAGGATGGCGGGAGGCTCAAGCGGGAGATCGGATGGAAGGGCATGGGGCGCGACGGGGGGAAGGACGGCGGGAGGCGCAGGGGGGAGGGGGGTTCCAGGACCCCGACATGGGGCAATTGGGGAGGGGAGGGGTGGGGGACACATGGGGGGAAGAAGCATCGGGGAGAGAGGCATGGGGGGGCATGCGGGGAGAGGGGGGAAGGGAGGGGTGGCGGCAGGAGGAGGAGCGTGACAGGGGGGAGGTGAGGGGGGAAGGGAGGGATGAACGCCCTTCTATTGTTCATCCTGTTGTGCCTCGCGCTCCTTCATATCCCCGTCTTCCTCCCCCTTATTTCAGTGCCCTTCCCGCCACCCAATCTCCCCTTATGCTTCCCCCCGAGGCCCGCTCATCGTCCCCCCTTCCGCCTCCTTCGCCGGCCCCCCATCCCCATAGCAAACATATTTCCGACAGTCATGCGGCGGTGGTTGAAAAGTCTGAGTCTGAAAAGCGATGCTTCTCCCTGAATCATACTGCTAATATGTCCGATACTCCTGTTTTTGAGACTTCGCAAGACGATTCTCGCCCTTCTTTGAATTGTCAAGCGCGTGGGGGAGCGGATGAGCGGGGAGCGGGGAGAGAGAGGGAGAGGGGGTGTGAGACACGGGCCGAGGAGGAAGTGGGGGAGGAGGAGGGGGAGGAGGGAGGGGAGGAGTGGGAGAGTGAGGAGGAGAGTGAGGAGGAAGGGGAGGAGGTGGAGAAGGGGAGTGGAAGGGGGAGCAGGCAGCAAGATGCAGGCGCAGCAACAATGAGAGAGACGACTTCGCTTGCAGCAGCAGCGGCAATCCGAGAGTCTACTCCTGCTGCAGCAGCAGCAACGGCAATGAGAGGTTTCACCCCCCCTTCAGCAGCACTTGCAGCAGCAATGAGAGCTTTTACTCCCCCCCGAGGAGCAGCAGCCGCAGCAGCAGCAGCAGCAATGAGAGCCTTTACTCCCCCCGCAGCAGCAGCAGCAGCAGCACCACCACCACCACCATCGTCGCCGCTGTTATCCCCAGCAGCAGTAGCAGGGGCAGGTGCACTGTCCATCCCTCTGTTTCTTCCTCACGGCACGAGCCCCCATGCAGCAGCAGCAGCAGTGCGCATGCGAGCACTCATGGGCATGTGTGCTGAGTCACAGCAGAGCAACTCAATACCTGTGCCTGGAGCTGTGCCTAATCCTCTGCCTGTATCTGCTCCAGGGACAGTGGGGAATGGTAACCCTGTTTCTGCTGCTGCTGCTGCTGCTGTTGGTGGTGGTGCTGCTGCTAGTGCTGCTGTTAGTGCGGCTGGTGGGGCGTGGGGGGGAGCAGGAAGAAGAGAGAGGAACGCTTTAAAACGTCACCAGCAGCGGCAGAGGCTGCTAGGCACGGGGAAACTAGAAACACTGAATGAGGATGAAGAAAGGGAGGTAGTGGGGAATAAGGGAGGGGCAGAGGAGGAGGAATATGAGGATACGGATCGGGACAGGGAAGGGAAGGAGGATAGGAGAGGCGTGAGGAGAGGGTATGACCAGGCTCGGGAGCGAATGAGCTCTGACGGCTCAGGTTCGGACGGCTCAGGTTCGGAAGGAAGTGGGGAGGTGAGGAGGCGGGGAGGGGAAACGGATGACGATGAAGAGGAGGAGGATAGGGAGAGGGAGGATGAGGAGAGAGAGGAGAGGAGGGAAAGGAGGGAGGATCTGCAGAGGAAAGAGCAGGAGGTGTGGAGGCTGCTGAGAGAAACGAGTGTGCTGCAACAAATGGCGCAGGTGCAAGCACAGGCTCGGACGCAGTTCCAAGCGCAGGCTCGGGCGCAGCTGGAGGCTCGGGCACGGATGGAGGCACAGGCTCGGGCCGAAGCTATGGCGCAGGCTCGGATGCAGGTTCAGGCGCAGGCTTTCATGGCATCACAAGCAGCATTCCTAGCGCAGGCTCAGGCACAGGCGCAATTGCAAGTGCAGGCTCGGGCTCAGGCTGAAGCGCAGGTTCGGGAGGCTTTGGTTCGGGGGGCTCAGGCTCGGGCTATGAGCCCATTCGCCGCGGAACAGACAGGTGGGGGAGTGACGTCAGCAGAGAGAAAGGCAGCATCAGACGGACAGGAAGCGTCAGAGGAGCAGGAAGCTTTGGTACGAGCAGGAGGAGCAGGAGAAGCAGGAGATGCAGGAGGAGCAGGAGGAGCAGGAGGATCAAATGAAGGAGGAAGAGCGCTTGCTGTGTATGTGCCGCAAAAAGACTCTCTGGCCTTGTCTGCTCTTCCTTACCACCCTCTCTCACACCCTCCTCTCTCACACCTTCATCTGACAGAGGAGAGAAATCCACAGCGGCATGTAGTGTCCGTTCAGCACCAACAGCAACAACAGCAGCCAGAGCAGCAGCATGAGTCACAGCAAGAGAGTGAAAATGAGGCAGCAGCAACAGCAGCGGCAACGGCAGCGGCCGCGGCGGCGGCGGCAGCAGTGGCAGACGCGGTTTATGCAAGCGTGGTGGGGAGTAGGAGGGGCGAGAGGAGGGAAGGGATGAGGAGGCTAGAAGGTGGAGAGACTGAGGAGAGGTATGGGCAGGAGCATCATCATCAGCAACAGCAGCAGCAGCAGAACCGGCAAGCTTTGTGTCATGACTCCAGGTCCGGAGGCAGGCTCGGAGGAGATCCGAGCCTAAGAAGACGTTCGGAATCGTGGAGTGTAACAGAGAGTTTCGACATCGAAGCTGCTGCTCAAGCCGCTGCCGAAGCTGCTGCCATTGCTGCTGCCGAGGCTGTGAGGAAAGAATTGGGAGGTCGGAGGAAGAGGGGTAGGCAAGAAGGAAGTGAGGAAGGGAGTGAGGGAGGCATTGGGAGGCAGTTTGCTTTACAGCGTCGCATTAGTGGGCACGGGGATGGGGACACGTGTCAGTCAGGGGGTGGGGGAGCGTCAGAGCGTGGGGGAGCGTCAGAGCGTGGGGGGGAGTCAGAGCGTGGGGGGGAGTCAGAGCGTGGGGGGGAGTCAAGACATGGGGGAGAGTCAATGCATGGGCGAGCGGCGAGTATGGATCTCAACAATCCACCCAAGACACGACCTCCTAATCATGGTAATTTTCGTTATTGCCCTCCTTTACAGGGTAATTTACGTTTTGGTCCTCCTCTACAGGGTAATTTACGTTTTGGTCCTCCTTCATGTCATTGCCCTCCTTTGCATGGTAATGTACGTTCTTACCCTCCTTTACGTGGTCATTGACGTTGTTGCTCCCCTTCACATGGTGACTTACGTTATTACCCTCTTTTACATCGTAATACACGTTGTCGCCCTCCTTTACCCCCACCGTCAGCACCATTAGCTTTAGCACCAGCACCAGCTTTAGCACCAGCACCATTAGCTTTAGCACCAGCACCATTAGCTTTAGCACCAGCACCATTAGCTTTAGCACCAGCACCATTAGCTTTAGCACCAGCACCACACAGCTCTGCACCCCTTTCCACACATCTCGCCGAAAGCCCACCCACCGAGCCCTCTCAACACACTCATCTCTCTGCCCCTTCTCTTTCCGCCCCTCCCATCCGTGCCGCTCCTCCCTCCCCAGTCAACCCCCTCCCACCAGTTCGCCGTCCCATACCACCTGAGAACACACCTGATCTGCGCAGAAACACACCTGACCTGCTCAGGAACACACCTGAGCTGCGCAGAAACGCACCTGACCTACGGGAAAGCACACCTGAGCTTTCGCCTGAAGACCTGGCCATGTTCCATTCCTTTGCCCACTTTGAATCCACGCTCCCGCCGAGCCTCAGTCATCCGAGCCTCCGTTCCTCCGAGCCTTGGTCTCTCGACACTTCTGCTGAACCTAGCAATGCCAATCCTGGCAATGCCGAACCTAGCTGTGACGGGCCTAGGAACCCCGAGCGCAGATTCTCCAAGCCTCGAAACCCGGAGCCTCAAAACCCCGAGCCTCAATACCCCGAGCCTCGAAATCCCGAGCCTCGAAACCCCGAGCTTCGAAACCCCGAGCCTCGTAAAAGAATCTCATGTGAGCCTGCAATTGGCGGGCGAGTGGCAGTGGTGGGTGGAAGTTTGAGAGGACTGGAAGCAGCAGCCACAGCAGGCGCAGCAGGAGGAGGAGCAGCAGCAACAGCAGCACAAGCAGGAGCAGAAGCAGCATCGGCAGCTGCATCAACAGGAGCAGGAGCGATGGTTCCTTATGTGTCGAGAGACAGGTCTGGTGGATTGGCACGAACCGTCAATGCTGCAGCAAAGGCAGGGGGGGTGGAAGCAGCAGGAGAGGAAGCAGGTGCATCAGGAGCAGCAGATTTTGCAGGGGACACGTCAGGAGGGAAGGAAGCTTCGAAGCTAGCAGCGAGAATGAGAGTCCGGTGCTTAAGAAGAGACGAAGGAGAGGAGGGAGATGAGGGAGAGGGGGGAAATGCGGAACAGACAGAGGTGGAGAGGGAGAAGGAGGAGGGAGAGGAGGGAGAGGAGGAGTTGCCTGAAATGGGTACAATTCCGAATCTACCCGAGAAGTGGAGGCTCGTGTCAAGGCTCGGCACTAGGCTGAGCCTGATCGAGGACCGAGGCTCGGGCCAGAGGTTCGTCGTGCAGCGGCTGGAGGTTCGGGAAGTGACGCGGGAAGAGGCTCAGAACGCCCAGCAGGAGAGGAGAGGAAGCAGAGGAGCGGAAGGGGGAGAGGGGGAGGGGGTTGAGAGGAAGAGGCAAGAGGGTGTGGAGGGTGGGAAGGTGCGTGAGCTTCAGAGGAAGGTGGTGCCTTGCATAGGTGCCATCCGAGCCAACCCTGCTGCCGCTGGTGCTGCTGCTACGGCTATAAATGCCAAGGGAGCAGCTCCTGGTGCTACCGCTTCCCCTCATGGGGAGTCTGGGTGTGAGCGTGCATCGGTGGTGGTGTTTGCGGCCTTTGAGTTTGTGCCGTCGCCGCCGCTCTCCCACCAGCTGCAGGAGTGCGGGCCCATGCCGGAAGATACCCTCGCCTTCTGCCTCCGACAGGTGAGAAGCAGTTCAGTGCGGTGCAGCGTGGTGTGCTGTGGTAGTGGTGGTGTGTTGCCGCGGCCCTCCCAGCAGCTGCAGGACTGCGCGCCCATGCCCGAAGATACCCTCGCCTTCTGCCACAGACAGGTTAGAAACTGTGTGTTCAGTCAGTGGAGTGCGCTGCAGTGCGGTTCAGCGTGGTGTGCTGTGGTAGTGGTGGTGTGTAGCCGCTGCTCTTCCAGCAGCTTATGAGTGCGGGGTGAGAACCGTGATGCAATTCAATGTGGTTCGATGCGGTTCCCCTCCTCCCAATCCTCACCAGGTAGTAGAGGCCCTTCACTCCTTGCATGCCCACGGCATCACCCACGGCATCACCCACCCCTCCCTCATGCTTCTCGGCTCACCCATCTGCTCTCTTGATTGCCACCTCTCTCACACCACCAGGTGGTCGAGGCCCTTCACTCCCTGCACACACACGGCATCTCCCACGGCAACGTCCGCCCCTCCACGGTCTTTGTGCCTGATGATGGGGTCGTGCGCCTGGGCGGCATCGCTTGGCTAGACTCCGACGGGCACGGGGACCGCCGGGTGGCACGCCTCTCTCCTGAAGCCATCCGAGAGGTGAGAAGAGGGAAGAAGCAGTGTTGTGTCAGTAATGATTGCAGTCATCATTGCAGCAATGATTGCAGACATCATTGCAGGAATAAATGCAGCCATGGTTACGGGGACAGCCGGGTGGCACGCCTCCCGAGGCCATCCGAGAGGAGAGGGACTGAGAAGAGGAACTGAGAGAGAGAGAGGAGAGCACGGATTGTGATGGCTTCACAGAATGCTTCTGTGAAAGATTGGGAGGGTGAAAGCATCTGATGTGTGGGCGATGTGGTTGGGGTGCATTGAAGCGGCGGCCATGGCCACTGGAGAAGAGCCTATTGTTTGTTCCGCTTACCTTGAGATGTCTCAACACACGTGCTGATTTTCTCTCTTTCTCTCTTTCTAACGTCCTTGTGATGAATTTCCCTGTTCCACAGGAAGTGGAGGGGGCGGCATCTGATGTATGGGCGTTGGGGTGCCTTGCTGTGGCCATGGCTACTGGAGCAGAGCCGTGGGCTGATATCACAGACAGCGAGCAGGTGAGCTTGGGATGTCGTAGCAGGATTTCATGTGAAGTGCAGGGAACAGGGCAGATCTAGAACTAGTCGCATTCAGTTACCATTTCGTCTTGCCTTACTCTGCCAACTCAAGATAATGAACATGCTTACCTCCCTTACCCTTTTCCCCCTTATTACCCCATTTTTACCCCTTTTCCCCCTTCGCCATTTTCCGTTGTGTCAGGTGAAGCTATTCATTGCTCACAGTCGAGACCTACCTGAATTCCCACCTGATTCGTCACCTGAATTCACAGACTTCGTTGCATCCTGCCTGAACCGCGACCCTTCAAAGAGGCCAACAGCTGAAGCCCTCGTGAGCCATCCTTTCCTTGCAGCGCCATAGATCGGAGACCAGAGCCACACAATCAACGGCTCCTTGCGGCGCCATCCGTCCTGCGTGGCGCGACCGGAATAAAAAAGCTGGAGCCAAGTCCCTTCAAAGAGGTCAACAGCTGAAGCCCTCATGAGCCATCCATTCCTTGCAACGCCATAGATCGGAGACCAGAGGCACACAATCCACAGCTCGTCACGGCACAGCTCCATCAATCCTGCTTCAACCAGATTATAAGGATTCGGGTGAAGTTCAGTCTCTTCACAGAGGCCATCAGCTAAAGCTGTCATGAGCCAACCTCTCCTTGCAGCATTATAGATCTGAGGCACACAACACAGTGCGAAGATTGCTATGGCAACGGCACCACCAACCTTGCTGAAGTCACAGAATCTGTAGCTCGCAACAGCACCATGTCAATCCTGATTGTACGGAAGCCGTGGCATGGCTAGCATGGTTTGTTTGCTACGTGTCTGCTGGCTGTGAGGCACCATGTGCCTCTTACAAGTAGTAACACCATGGCTTCATATACCAGTAACATGTCTTCATACACATTTGCATCCTGTTCAGGCTTTGCAGCACAACAGCAGTCATGATAATAAGTAATGACTCATTAATCAGTGACTCGCTAACACGAGCATGGAAAAGGCTCTGTCTTTGCATCACCACCCTACTTATCACACCCTCACGACATGAATCCATCAGTCTGTGTTACATCTCTTGCTCTTGCAATCAGGTAACCTGCTCCTCCTCTACCTTTTCCTCCTCATCACTCCCGCTTGAGCAACGAGCCTAGAACCTCATCCCTCGTATCCCTGCCATTCAATCTTACAGTTTTTTCAAACCCGCCTGCCAGAGCCTTTACTTCAACTTCTCGATCTTGCCACAAAACAGGTCCTCATCAACATCAATGATGCCAGTGAACATTTTTGGGTGGTCTATTACCCCCTGAATCGAGTCGTCCAACATGCCGTCTGTAGCCAGCAAGTGCCCCTCAAAATTGTAGTGTCCCTGCACGTGCGATCTGTCAACGTGATTCGTCCAAAGGGGTAAGCGCCACCTTCTGGCGGTGGGCAGTCCACTCCAAAATAGATGTATCCCAGCTTGACGCCTTTAGACTTGACATTGTAGCATCGTTGTCATCCTGTACCCCGGCGACTTGTTGAAGGCCGGGGGGGAGAAGATCAGGACCTCGATCCGGCACGTTGACCCGCAGACCGTGAAGCAGTGGCACCGCGACAAGGCGATCCGCGTGCTGAAGTGAGCTCGATAGTGTAGTCGACGACGCATGCAATTTCGCCGCGCAGCGTAAACCGTGCTTACCGACAATCTGTGCCATGTTGCTTTAGGTTTTTCCGGGCGGCGGTCCTGGCCGAGCTTGGGCGCGATGGTAGGAAGTGGGAGTGGGCGAAGCCTTCTGATGAAGAGGTGGAGGACAGGCTCGCCGACTGCGATGAACCCGTTCGAGATGTGATTTCCGAACGATTTATCGTCCTATAGTGTGTCATCCTTGCGCGATGCGATTGCCGAACGCGGTGCTCATCCTTGCGCTCTGAACTGTTGTATGCAGAAAGTGCCCGACGCCGTCCGGGACGGGGACGCAGGCTCCGGCCTGCTAGCAATGAGCGCGTTGTGATGGGTGGTGAGGAGGATGGATCTCTTGACCGGCGCCAGAATGAAGGTCTGAATATGAAAAGGGGATGATCCAGAGATATGAGCTGTGATAAAATGGTGCTTCTGTCAGTGTCAACGCCTTATCAAGGGATTATGATGTACCGTACTTTCATCAGTCTCAAAACGCGACTCGCAGACTCGCAGATCCCTCACCTCAACCCCGTCCGAGCCGAACATCCCAGCGCAAATCGGTCGTAGGAACCGATTTGCCAGTGTCGTCAGAGGGGGTCATCGGAGCCGGGCCTGACGAGGCGGGCAACTGACGCGCGTGCGGGCCCGCCAGCCTGGCCCAGGGCCGGGCCGAGCGCACGACCGCCGCCCCGCAAACCCCCTGCGTGATTGAGCAGCGCCCCACGTTACCGGGTCGGGGCGGCGAGCTGGCGAGCCCTCGCGCGAGGGAAAGTAACCCTCGCGCGAAGGCAGCCCTCCCGTGCCTGCTGCCCGCGACGTCCTAGTGACCCTCGCGACCTGCCCGGACGGGCAGGGGAGGGCCATGGGAAATTCGGGTGCTCCCCTCAGAACGCTCGACAATTTCGCGACCCGTTGCGCTGACGCCACGTGCTCGCACGCGGGTTCGCATCGGGTGCATGCGAAATTTCGAGCCCTGCGAAATTTCGAGCCCGGCGAAATTGGATTGCTCGTATCGCGGCACAGGGTTTTCGCAATCCCCTGTGAAGTCAACACGCGTCGGCCGAAACGTCGCACTGCGCGCATGCGAAATTGCGTCCCCTCGCCGAGCGAAGCCAGGGGACGCGAAGTCGACGTGCTGGCTCGGCGGCGAAGGAGCACTTGTGCCACTTGTGCATGCAGCCCGCCAAACCCTGCCGAGCCAGGCACCACGAACCCTAGGCGATGCCTCAACCGGCCTGTGGGGCACCGACTCCCTTTCCTTGGTGGAAGGAGGCATCGCTCCTCATTTTCGGCATCTCGTTTCTCTTTCAACATTACTCCCACATTCTCGTCCCTTAGCCTGTAGTCAATTCCCTTCACCACCATGGAGGCCGACCCGAAAGCCGGCGAAGCGGCGCCGACTTCGCAGGACTCACTGCCAAGCTCGAGGAACACGACTACGCCGTCCTCGTAGCCCATAGGCTAGATTTCAACGTCCGTTGCTTGGGATTCGGCCTCAAGTGAGTCTCCGTATGGGGATGTCGGCGTCGACCTCTACATACCTTGCTGGTCGACGCAGCGTCGGTGTTAGGGTTGTCCCACGTCTAGGGCGGCGCTACGAGTTTAGGGTTTAGTTCAGTTCACGTCGACACGGACTTTAGGATTCAGGGTTATCTACCGTAGGTCGGTGTCGGCACAGGGTTTAGGCCCGCATCGGTCGGCTCCATTGATTACAATGTCGCGAGGGTGGTGCACCGTCGTACTATTGCCATCCCCGTCAGTTGGCGGTTCCTAAACCAACGTATCCACCGTCGTGTCGTGCACATCCTCACTCACTTCTAATACCCATGCATGCGTGCAGGCACGCATGGACTCGCGCGGCGCCGGCCAACATGCGATTGTGGTCGATAGGACTCGGCCGGCTTCGGGCGGCAATGGGTCGGGCGGACCACACATGCTTTGCGATGGTTTTCGACGCCGACGTTGCGGTTATCCCCCTGACTTCGAGGTGAGCTGGTTCGAAGTCGTCATGATGTGTGTTGCAACCTATGTCGGTGCTCTGTTTTGAACGACGTCGCCGTGCCTTGCTTGTGCAGCATCGCACCGCTTCCAGGAGCACATTGCAGCATCGTTGTCATCCTGTACCCCGGTGACTTGTTGAAGGCCGGGGGGGAGAAGATCAGGACCTCGATCCGGCACGTTGACCCGCAGACCGTGAAGCAGTGGCACCGCGACAAGGCGAACCGCGTGCTGAAGTGAGCTCGATAGTGTAGTCGACGACGCATGCAATTTCGCCACGCAGCGTAAACCATGCTTACCGACAATCTGTGCCATGTTGCTTCAGGTTTTTCCGGGCGGCGGTCCTGGCCGAGCTTGGGCGCGATGGTAGGAAGTGGGAGTGGGCGAAGCCTTCTGATGAAGAGGTGGAGGACAGGCTCGCCGACTGCGATGAACCCGTTCGAGATGTGATTTCCGAACGATTTATCGTCCTATAGTGTGTCATCCTTGCGCGATGCGATTGCCGAACGCAGTGCTCATCCTTGCGCTCTGAACTGTTGTATGCAGAAAGTGCCCGACGCCGTCCGGGACGGGGACGCGAGCTCCGGCCTGCTAGCAATGAGCGTGTTGTGCTGGGTGGTGAGGAGGATGGATCTCCTGACCGGCGCCCTCCGTCGCAGTGTGACCAGCATGGACAAGGTCAACGTTTCGGGGTTGAAGGGGCTGCGGAATGGGATGATAACATTCGTCAAGGAGCACGCCGCTCTCAAACGGTCGGGCCATGTCGGAGTTGCTGCCGACGCCTGTGACGACGACGACAAGGAGGCCCCTTCGGCATCCCAAGCAGTAGGCGTCGCCTACACCGTCGATGATGCACGTGGGACTTCGATCGGAGAGCCCGGAGGCGGCGTCGACAAGGAAGATGAGGAGGCGGGAAGGGTGGTGACTGGGACCGTGGAGAAGCACCAGGACGAGGACGTCCATCACGATGATAACGAGGATCAGGAAGAGGACCATGAGGATTGTGAGGAGGAGGAGGAGGAGGAGGAGGAGGAGGAGGAGGAGGAGGAGGAGGAGGAGGAGGAGGAGGAGGAGGAGGAGGGGGAGGAGGAGGAGGAGGAGGAGGAGGAGGAGGAGGAGGAGGAGGAGGAGGAGGAGGAGGAGGAGGAGGAGGAGGTGGAGGAGGCGGAGAAGCAGCAAGAGGGGGAGCAGGAGGAAGAGGTCGAGTGGGAGTTGGAGGAAATGGAGGTGGAGTACGTAGAGGGAGCGGCGGAAACGGCTGGGAGGTCGGCAGATGTTGTGAACGAGGGAGGGGAGGATGCCGACGAGGAGAAATTCGGCATGGAGGTGGCTCACGGGGGGAGTGAGAAGGTCGTGGTCGGCGATGTGGTTGGCGACGCGAAGGAAGTTATCGACCTCGAGGCCGTTGGAGAAGGGGACAACGCCGCGGCCACGAAGAAGACGAGCATGGAAAGGCCTACCGAGACCACCGCAGGGAAGGCCGGGGGGGAGCGGTCTAGGAAGAAGAAGGCGGCGCGCGGTCATCCCGGTGCCTCCGCATCTGGTCGGCAGGCACCGCTGGACGTCGTCGGGCAGCTGCGACAGGAGAACAGGCGATTGACGGCAGAAAATGCCAGTCTGGAGAAGGCGGATGGAGAGGAAAGGGGTCGGGTGGACAGGTTTGCGTTGGGGATACGCGGACTCCTCGACAAGCTCCAGTCGTTGGCCGACCAGGTCGCCGTCTCCGACCATAATGCGGCGAAACGGCTGCTAGATGCGACGTCTGCCATGTCGACAACCATCACGGACAACATGTGAATTGGTGGTGCCGTGACGCTTGATTCGCTTAGAAGGACCAGACCGAGCCGAACCGACGCAATCCATCTTTTTACAATTTGGCAGCGAGGGCAGCGGGAAAGAACGTTGTTGAGAAAATGTGCGGGAACGAAACAAACAACACCGTCAGTACAACAATTGGGGGTGTGGTGACGCTTGATTCGCTAAAACAGGACCAGACCGAGCCAAACCGACACAATCCATGTCCCACAGCACAGCCCCTTCGTCAACGGACTCAAAGAGCTTGTACCATGCTTGGTCGGCTTCATGCTTCATCCCAAGGGAAGGGTTGCTGGTCGTTGGAAGGCGGGGTTTTTAGTTTATCGAGAAGCACTACTGGACAAAATTTGCTCCGAAGTTAACCCCTAAACCCTAAACCCTTAACCCAATCCTGATTGGTCACAACAGTTAACAAACAGACGATGACCGCCTGAATAGACGGTCATCGTCCACGTCCACCGGTCGACGTCATTTTTCGGGCAAAAAACAATATACCCTCTCAGGTGGTATGCCATTCAGGGAGTCATCAACCCTAAACACCATGCGGCAAGGTGTTTAGGGTTGATGCTTTCCCATCGGGGTTTTATTTTTTCCTGGCGCATTTTTGGGAGGGATCAACCCTAAACACGGAAACCCGCCTGGTGTTTAGGGTTGATCCATTCCCATCGGGGTTAAAAAAAATCGTACGCATTTTCGAGTGAAATCAACCCTAAACACCTTGCCACATAGTGTTTAGGGTTGATACTTCCCCAATCGGATTTTGTGACATCTTTCAACCAATCATATTTCGACTTCCTAACGAGCGTAATAAGTAAACGCTCTCAGACTGGAAATTCAGGTAACTAGTCCCCAGCAGGGCTAACAGTGCCTTTGGAGTGTTTGTCCAGTAGTGATTCTCGATAAACTAAAAACCCTTGGAAGGCGTTTGCGAGGAGCTTTGCAAGCCGAACAACGCCTGAAACGACAGAACTTGTACACTCTATTCAGGGCCGAGGGCGTCGTGTTTCCCCGCGAGGGATGGCCCGCGAGGAGGGCCGATACCCTCGCCGCCGTGACTCGGGTCACGCGAAGGAAACAGGGCTGGCACTGACCTGGCACCGCCCACCTCGCGCGACTCTCCTAGCGAGGAAACCGAGGCCCAACCCTTCGGTGCCTAATGTCAACGCATCTGATGCACCGCCTGTCGCCATCTCCTGCACGAGAAACCCAGTTTCCCACCTTCAACTCGCAATAAAAACGGGCCAGCTGGACAGCCGTGGCTGTGCCACATGGCGCGGATCCCACGTGTCACCGTACACTATGGTGGGGTGCGCTTTTAGCGGAACTCTCTAACATTGGCGAACGTTTCGCCACGTTACCATTGATGCAACCTGTCGCGGTGTCGTGAAAGCATGTATACACTAATCCAATTCATTGCCAAGCAAATTTGTTCACGACATGTTCACAATCGCGCAGTGAACCAGTCAGTAGCAGGGAGGTCACGCTCGACCAATCAATGCATTGCACATACGCACATGCAAAGTCGCTAGTCGCTACGCTAGTAGGTTTACGACACAACGTCGACGCTCGATCGAAGACACAGAGTGAGATTTTGCGAGCCTGGCCCGAGGCTTGACGTCTCCCTTTGGCGAACCTAGACATCACGCGACGCTCTGCTTGCCGCCAATCTCCCATAAGTTCATATTCTGTCTCTGACAGGAGAGAACAACTGGGCTGTTAAGCTTTGTATTCAACACGGTGCAGTGCGGTGTGTTTCAGTGGTGTTAGGTCACATGGGCGCCGCTCTCCCAGCAGATGCAGGAGTGCGCACCCATGCCGGAAATCCTTTGGCATTCGAGAGGCGAGGATTGGGCTGTGATGACGTTCAGTGCGGTTCAACGCGATTTCGTGCAGTTCAATACGTTTCAGCGGTTCAATGCGGTTCAGTATGATTCAATGCGGTGCACTGCGGTTCAACTGCGGTTTAATGCGTTTCAATGCGGCTTACTGCAGTTCAATCCATTTCAATGTAGTTCACTGGGGTTCAATGCGTTTCAATATGGTTCACTTCGGTTCCATGCGGTATGATGCGATTGAATGCGATTCACTACTGTTTGACGCGGATAGATGCGGTTCAAAGCGGTTCGATGCGGTGCAATGCAGTGTGCTGTCTGTAATATTGTGGTGTTTAGCAGCCGAGTACGTCCCATCCCACCGCCTCTCCAGCTCTTTCCGCAGCTGCCAGCTGCTTTTGTGCACTCTCGCACTCGTCACCCTTTGATTAAGGATGCCCAAAGTTACTCTCTTGAATGCCCAAGGAACATAATCCTGCGTTTGCCTCTCCCGTCACGCGTCTTCTATCTTGTTTTTCTCCCTCCCTCACCAGGTGGTCGAGGCCCTTCACTCGCTTCGTTCCCACGGCATCACTCACAGCAATGATCGTTCATCCTCTGCTCTCTTGACTGTCACCCTCTCCTCCTCACCCACCCCCCTCCCTCACCAGGTGGTCGAGGCCCTTCACTCGCTTCACTCCCACTGCATCACTCATAGCAATGACCGTCCCTCCTCTGCTCTCTTAACTGATTCCTCACCCTCTCCTCATCCACTTCCCTTCCCTCACCAAGGAGTGGAGGCCCTTCACTTGGTCGGCATCGCTTGGCTGGACTCTGACGGTCACAGAACCTCCTGGACAAGCAGAAGCAACAACAGCAGCAACATTCATGGTTACAGGGACAGCCAGGTGTGCCACCTCTCTCCTGAAGCCATCAGAGAGGTGAGAAAAGAAAAGCGCTTCTATTGAAAAACCGCCCTGTAACAAGCTGACTTGTGAGTCGACTCAAAAGTCAGAGAGAGCGCTTCTAGTGAAAAAAACCGGCCTGTAACAACACGACAATTTTGGTGCTCGTCCTACTGCTTCGAGACCTCTCAAAACTCAACCTGCCGGCTGCTCCTTTCCTTTTCATCATCCCTGTTCCACAGGAAGAGGTGGGCCCGCCTGTCAAAACATATTTGTATGTTCCTAGTTCTGCTAGGCTACAGTGAGGTGCTCAGTATAGAGTACAACCCCAGTTAGGGTTTACTACTTGTATCTCACTCTTGCTAGTCATTCATCATTCCTGCACAGATTATTCTGACATGGTTTCAGAGCAGGATACATGTTAAGTTTTTAGGGCCCACCGATAGTTCCGCTCGTTCCTGTCAGAATAATGAACGAGAATGAATGAACTAGCAAAGAGTTGGGTACAAGTACTAACCCTAATTGGGTTGTACCCCTTATGGGCTACCCCACTACAGCCTACACAATGTAAGCTATATATAAGTTTGACACACCCCCATAAGCAAAGTGGGGGAGAACAAGTGGTCACAAGACCAGTCAAGAAAAGCAAAGCAAGCTCAGGGTGGATCACAAAGTCACCACACAGTCCGAGCACAAGCAAAGGGCCACAAGGCCAGTTCAAAGAGAACAAACAATACAGTGATCATACCCTAGCAAGTGTAAGCATGCAGGCATATATATAGATCATAGTACAAGGAAATTCACGCAGTAAGCAAGTGAGGCAAAGTAGGCACAAGGCCTAACACAGTAGAGAAGCGCTGATGATCACCAGGCGGAAGTGCCTTGGTGAACATATCAGCAGTGTTGGCCCTAGTGGCCACGTACGCAAGACGAAGTCGGCCACGCTGCTGCAACTCTCGAGCAAGGAAGTATCGCAGAGCAATGTGCTTCATTTTGTGCTCCAGTCTGTGCTCCTGACACAAGGCAATCATGGCCTTGTTGTCTACGTACAGAACTGGAGGCGAACGAGGCTGCTCTCCCAAGTCAGTCAGTTGTCTACGTACATAACTGGAGGCGAACGAGGCTGCTATCCCAAGTCAGTCAGCAGGTAGGTGAGCCAGCGTAGCTCCTGTGCAGCCATGGCCCCTGCGTAGATCTCAGCCTCACAATTGGAGCTGAGAACCGAAGACGAGCGGGTAGACCGCCAGGAAACAGAGCCGGAACCAAGGCTGAAGGTGTAACCCTGTGACGCCCGCTGCGTAGCTGAGTCGTCAACCCAAGAAGCGTCTGCGTAACCAGTGAGGACAACTGGACCCCGTCCTCCAAGCACGAGCCCCATGCCCGACGTACTGCACAAGTAACGCAGTACCCTCTTCGCAGCATCCCAGTGCACCTTTCGGTGCCTACTGGGAGCCACGTAGCGATCCAGGAGGCTGAGAGGGTACGCGAGGTCAGGTCGTGTGCATGTCATCAGGTACATGAGGCAACCCACAAGCTCTGGGTACGGGCCACTCGGCTCTACAGACTCGTCCGAAGGTGGAGCTGAGAGCGAGTGGCTGGTAGACAAAGGAGTGGGCTGTGGCGAGGAGAACTGGAAGCCGAAGTGCTGAAGGACCTGGTGCACCATGTGTGAGTGAGTCAGGGTGATGGTGCGCCGTGCTGTGTCCCGGGTGATCTGCAAGCCAAGATAGCTGCGCAGTTCACCCTGGTCAGTCCAGGTGTGTCTCTTCTGCAGCTCCGACTTCACAAGGGTCAGTGCCTCAGTGTCAGCAGTGGCAAAGACGAGGTCGTCGACGTAGACGAGGACGTAGAACGGCGGCAGCGAGGTGTCGGTGCGTAGAAACAGCAATGGGTCAGTAGTAGAAGGAGCAAACCCAAGAGCCACAAGTGTAGTCCTCAGTGTGTCGTGCCACTCGCGAGGCGCCTGGCGGAGACCGTAGACTGGCCGGCGGAGGCTCCACTGGGTACCTGCAGGAAACGACCTAGTCAAGCCAGGTGGGCGGCGCAGCCAGATCTCCTCGTGTAGGCTGCCCTGCAAGAAATCTGTGCTGAAATCGAGAGAGTGCAACTCGTAGTCACGCTGAGCAGCGACGTGCAGCAACACCCGAAGAGTAGTCATCTTCGGGGTGGGGGAGAAGGTATGGAAGGGTAGTCAACCCCCTGTCACTGACTGAAGCCTCGAGCAACGTAACGCGCCTTGAAGGCAGACGGAGAACCCGGCGGCCGCGTCACCCTGAAAATCCACATGCCATCGACAATGTTCGCCCAAGGTGGGGGAACCTCGTCGACGTAGGTGCCTGTGGACTTCCAGGATGCCATCTCGGCATCCATGGCTGCCTGCCACTAAGAGGAGTAAGGACCCGTAATCGCGTCTGCGTAAGAGCGCGGGGTCGGGATGTCTGGTGCATCCGGGTCTCCTTCAGGGGCAAGCAGCATGGAAGTGAAACGAGGTACAACAGTTGCAAGACACTCAAAGTCCTCCTGCCTGTCCTGAAGGACGTCCGTGCCAAGAGCACACTCAACCCCGACGGACGGAGGACTGGCAGACGCAGACTCAGCAACAAGAGCAGTGGCGTAGTCTAGACGGCAGGCAGCAGCAAAGTCAAGCAGCTCAGCAACGATAGCAGACGCAGCAGCAGACTCAAAAGAAGGGTCAGTGACAGCAGAGGCGAGGAAACGAGAGACTGTGGGACTGGCAGCACGAGCGCGGTCAGACTCAGGATCAGGGACCTTAGGAAGAGAGGACACAGGAGGAGCAGGCAGAGGAACACGCAGTGGAACAGAGGAAGGACGGAGTGCCATAGCGTGCATGCCAGGGACAGGAGGAGGACGCGAACGAGGAACGCGACGAGCAGGGCGAACAGGTGAGACATGGCGAGACGCAGGCTCACGACGCTCAGTAAGACCGCCAGATTGCTCAGTGTAAGGAGAAGGAGCAGGCAATGGGGAGGCTGACAGTAACGGCGGCTGCGACTGGTCAGGCGGTGGACACAGGAGGGGAGGAGTAGGGCTAGTAGAAGACGGGACACCAAGAACCTGCTGAAGTAGGGGAACGAAGTACGGTCGCGGCCGCACAGTGCCTCCAGCACCTCCAGCTCCAGGGTCAACAGCTCCAGCTCCTGCAGCTCCAGCGCCTCCCGCGCCAGTGCCTCCAACTCCCAAATCTGTCTGATCTGAAACTCATGCCCTGGACCCTAGTCTCGAGACTCGATGTTGATATCTTTCCGAGGAACCAACGGTCTGAGGTGTGGGGTCGTGCAGCTAAGTACTGGCTTCTAGTCCTTGGTGGAAATTCTACTAACATCAAGTTTCGAGCTTGCGGCTCGTACCAGCTCGAGAGAACGCGCCCTTCAGTCCATCAGAGTATGAGAGGGTCAAAGAAGGGGCGACACGCCTTGCGCACCAAGGGGGAATGAATCTGGTGTTCGGCTCCCTTTGGCCACCAACGAAGCTCCCCCCGTTGTACGACTCACAAACAGCGCGCGCGCCAAGAGGCCTGAGTCCTGACCTTCAAGCTTCGCGTCAGCGGGCAGACGAGCGGGCGGGCGGGCGTGGGGGTGAGTTGAGGGGTCAACAGAAACCCTCTTGAATAGTGCATTGCGACACACGAACTTGACGGAGCGACAGAAGTCGTATGTGTGTATTTCTGGTTGAGTTGCGATCTTCGCGAAGAGACAGAAGTCGTATGTGTGTATTTCTGGTTGAGAAACGATCTTCGCGAAGAGATAAAAGTCGTATTACGACTTTCGCCACCACCGTCGAAGCCTTAACACATATCGAGTATCCGAGTCTGGTCTGGTGTAGATTTCAAGCTGTATCTGTGCTTTATAACGAGGATTCTTCCCACCAGGGCTAGGGCTATCAGGGTAAATGCTCGTTCTTGACTGAAAATCCATGGTATTTTGAAGCCGAGATATGATTTTTACAGGGGACGTTGGGAGCCAGCCCTGACTGATTACGAAAGTTCCAGGACTGACTCTGACGAATCCGAGTAGTTCCTGGAAGGACTTGAGTTTTTCTATGAAGTCTGGACCCCCCAATCTTCCCACCGTCCCACCCCTCTCTACGAAAAAACTTTTCCCCCATCCCCAATTATCATGAGCTTCACTCCCCTCCCCGTAGCTCGTCCCTCAATCAAATTTGCCTTCTCGGCACTTAGCTAATTTTATTTCTGGGAAGGAGTCTCTACCTGCTCAGCGAGAACACGAGATGAAAATACTCAATTACATACAGGAGCAGAGTCACACGAAGCAGCACTAGCAGTGCGCTAACAAACACAGGCTCGATGGTGTGGAACGCTGAATGCTATCTTGAATTTTACTTGTTCAGGAATAAAATTAAAAAACTGTTCCGTGGAGAAAAACGAGGATTTTCATCGAGCCCTGAATTTTCGGAGCGTTTTTCCGGCGGACCCCTCATTTCCAAGGCAGTTCCATCAAGGAGTCCATTACGTCCGAGCTAGCGAAAATCCTAACTCTAGCCCTGCTCGCCACTTCAGCCGCACTTTCCTGTTGCTTCGTTCCCACCAAGGTCAGGGGAGGGGACCTATTTCAAAATCACCAACCTTGGGATTCACGATTTTCACTCCTTTTTCGAGTCCGTCAAAGCTTGGGCCCATCCCTATGGATCCATCCCTCAAGAATATACCAACAGAACCAGTATTCTAAGAAGGCCTTCATTAGCGAACGTTGTGCATGTTATAAGAGGATCCGTTAGTAGGTTCTCGATATAATTATGATGGCTTCCGCGGGACCGCGTACGCGGCCTGGAGCATCTGGTTCTGCACAGGGCTCCATGTCAGCATCTCCCTCCTCCGGCTCTATCCAGTCGCTATCGCAGGACCCGTCACGCGGTAATAACAACCGCGTTATAATGCTCATCGCCGCCTTACCGTTAGGCCTGGCGGCCTTCGCTTTTATCCTCCATTTGCAGGGCGATTTCGATATGTTAGACGACGGGCAGCCGCGGCTGCCCGGATGGCATCAGGTGGACTTTAGGAAACCGGATAAGAGCCTGGCGACGCCATCAGATGTACCATGCGATACAACGAGGAGCTTTAAACCGGGGATGTACCCGAATCCTTCGATTAAAGTGCTCGGGAATCTGCAGGATAGTCCGAAGCTACTAATAACTACGACCACGTCGGGCGGCGCGCAGCAGATTCTGCCGTGGATTATGTACCACCGCGCGATCGGCGTGCACTACTTCATACTATTCGTCGAAGGCAAGGCCTCTTCGCCGGAAAACGTGGCGATATTCGAGTCCATGGAGGTCAGTTCGCCTTCTCTTTCCAGCAACGGAGCTCATCCCCCTCTTCCCCCCCCCACACCCCCCACTATTCGTGGAAGGCAAGGCCTCTTCGCCGGAAAACGTGGCGATATTTGAGTCCATGGAGGTCAGTTTCCTCGGCCCCCCCTTCTCTCTCTTTCTCCGCCACTCTTCGCCTCTCTCCCTCCTCCGCTACCTCCTTTTATATCCTCTCACTCTGCGCTCACGAGAAAGAAGTTGCTCCGAATTTGGGTAATTTCTCGTATTCGTTTCATATTGCTCCACCATCGTCGATAATCTCTTCCCTCTTCCCCCCTGTTCCCCCTTCCCCTGTTCCCCCTTCCCCTTCCCCCCATTCCCCCCCCCCCCTCCCCCCTTCCGTCATCCCTCTTAATTCATTGTTCGGATTCTTTTTTTATTGCCCTATCCTCCTCGTTTGGCTCCTCTTTTCTCCCCATTTGCTTCCCTAGGGGCGCGGATGCATCCTCATACTGCCCTTTTTCCTTTCTCATCACCCCTGTCCTTCACTTCCCTCCTCCCACCCACTTCCCCTCCTTCTCACCGCGTCCCACTCCTTCCCCCTGACGTCCCTGCCCCCCCTCTTTTCCTTTCTTCTCCCAACCTCCCCACCCCTTCTCCCTTCCCCCCCTCGCCCCTCAGGGTGTGACAGTGGTGCAGCGAACCAAGGAGCTCGAAGATCAGCAGGCCAAGAGGTGAGTGCTGCGCTCCCCTCTGCTCCGCTTTCCTCTGCTCCGCCGTTCCCCTCTGGAATGAGACATGGCTAACTGCTATTTCTACAAACCATGCAACTAGGATCTCTGTGTGCGCTCCAGCTCCTCCTTGGGAGACACTTCTGATAATTCTAAAAATTGGGACGTGGGCTGAGCTGCTATTTCTACAAACCATGCAACTATGCTGATGTTACTTTTGAGAACTCTCAAAAGTAACATTTAAAAAAATGGGACGTGGGCTTAACTGCTATTTCTACAAACCTCTCAACTATGAGACGTGTGCGCTCCAGCTCCGTCGTCCTCCATTCCCCCACCATTTCCATTCCCTTCCTTCTTCCCTCTCTACAGCCGGGTGTGGAACGAGACGTGGCTTGCATTCTTCTTCTACAAGCCATGCAACTACGAGCTCTTTGTGCGCCCCATCTCTCTCATCCTTCTCCTCACACCCCCTTTATTCCCGCCTCTTATCTCCCTCGCACCCCCTTCATTCCCCCTTCAGCCGCGTGTGGAATGAGACGTGGCTTGCATTCTTCTTCTACAAGCCGTGCAACTACGAGCTCTTTGTGCGACAATCGCTCAACATGGAGATGGCTATCGTCTTCGCCAGGGTGGGTTACCATCTACTTTCGCCAGACAAGTTACCATGGTCATTCCTTTCGCCAGGGTGGGTACCATGCTAGTTGCCACTCCCCTCCCCTCTTCTACAAGCCATGCAACTGCGAGCTCTTTGTGCGCCAGTCCCTCAACATTCGCCAGATAGGGTTACCATGGTCATTCATTTCGCAGCAGGAGGTACCAGTCATTCGTTTTGCAGGGTGGGTTATTATGTTGTCTTCAACCAGGTTGATTATCATGGCGAGTGGGAGGGTGTGTTGCTTTTGAGAATTCTCAAAACTGACTTCGACCAGTGTTGATTGTCATGGCGAATGGGAGGGTCATTCCACATTATTCCGCTTCAGTCACTCACTCCTGACTGCTCCCCCTTTCTCTCACAACTCTCTTCACACGTCGCCTCTTCTGCCACCCCTCCTCTGCCACTCCTCCTCTGTCCCATCAGGTGTTGGGAGTGGATTGGATATTCCACGTGGACACGGACGAGCTGCTCTACCCTGCAGGCAACACAATGGGCCTTGTGCTATGTTGTGCCCTCCTGCCCGCCCTCCCCTCCATTCACACCTTAGTTGCGGAAGACGCGTCTAGCGTCTTAGACGCGTCCGTCTAGACGCAGCGTCTAAGACGCTAGACGCTAGATGAGTCAGATTAGACGCAGTATTAGACGAAAGCCTGGGCAGGCTAAAAAAAAGTTCGGGCAGACCAAAAACAATTCTATGGGGCATGGGGAGGGTGGGGGACATGCACGTATGTCACAATGGGGTCAATTTTTCCCCGTACCATAATCTTTTCCCCATTCTTAGATTTCTGCAGGAGGAGAGGATCGAAGGAACTAGCTAAACCCTAAGGGTTTTCGAAAGAGATTTGGAAGAACTGAATGTTGGGGAGCCCAAATGTGGGATTTGTGCTCCCCAACCTCTTGGTGGTTAGCCATAGAGGTTGGGTTTTCTAGATACCAAGCGGTGAAGTGTGGTTTGTGTTCAATTTTGGTTGGGGGGGATTCAAAATTGCTTGGGGGGCTGGTCGAAATGGGTGGGAAGGGGTTCTAATGGCGCGAAATTGAATTTCGCGTCGAAATGGCGAATTTCAATTTCGCGCGCGCGGTTTTTTTGTTCGGGCTGCCCGAAAAAAATTAGCCCAAGCGTCTAGCGTACGCTAGACGCAAGACGGGTCGAGCGTCTTCCACAACTAAGATTCACACCAATGCCCCATCAGGTGTTGGGAGTGGATTGGATAATCCACGTCGATACAGATGCGCTACTCTACCCTGCAGGCAGCACAGTCACCCTTGTCTCACTGCGCTGTGCTGCTGTGTTCTGCCGTGTTTTGCTGCCTCCCTCCCGTCCATTCACACCAATGCCCCATCAGGTGTTGGGAGTGGATTGGATATTCCACGTCGATACAGACGAGCTGCTCTACCCTGCAGGCAACACGGTAGCCCGTGTCTTTGAGGCGCCTCAAGAACACGGTAGCCCGTGTCTAATTGCGCTGTGCTGCTGTGTTCTGCTCTGCCGCCTGCCCACCCGTCCCGTCACACTACTGCCCCACCAGGTGTTGGGAGTGGATTGGATATTCCACGTCGATACAGACGAGCTGCTCTACCCTGCAGGCACGGCCGACTTCTCCCTCCAACGCCTCATCCATGACCTGCCCAGCGACGTGGACCTCATTGTGTTTCCAAACTATGTGAGTGCAGTGCAGTGCGGTGCAGTGCACTGCAGTGAAAGCTTTCCAAACCGCAACCACCACCTCCCCTCACGGCTTCTCCCTCCAGCACCTCATCCACGACCTGCCCAGCGACGTGGACCTCATTGTCTTTCCAAACTACGTGAGTGCTGTGCGGTGCATTGCATTGAAGTGCGGTGCAAGCTTCTTAACCACCACCACCACTCCCTCACAGCTCCTGCCTCCCTCCAGCTCCTCATCCACGACCTCCCCAGCAACATGGACCTCAATTGTGTTTCCAAACTATGTGAGCCCGGTGCTATGTCTTCTCACATGGATCCACACTACACCTCAGTACTCACTCACTCGCTCTTGCCACGTCATGCCCCCACCACCTCCACCCCCTCCTCGCGGCTTCTCCCTCCTCTGGTGTGTTTGTCTGTGTGTGTGTGTGCATGTCTGTGCACTTGTCTTGTATATATGTATGTGTGTGTGTGTGTGTGTGTGTTTGGGTGCGTGTGTGTGTGTGTGTGTGCCTGTCTGTGCACTTGTGTGTGTGTGTGTGTGTGTGTGTGTTTGGGTGCATGTGTGTGTGTGTGCGTGCGTGTGTGTCTGTCTGTGTGATACAGGAGAGTGTGGTGGAAACAGCTGATGTGGGAGACTCGTTTACCGAGGTATTACCCTTTTTTAAGGGCTGATTCCCATTTTATGCATGTTAGCCAGCATACTCATGAGAGCAAAACTCGAGTAATGCCTTTGTTGTATGTGCGTCAGTTGATATACACTCATGTATGCGAATTGCCCTTCCTGTTACAACAGGTTTCACTGTTCAAGAAGAATTATGATCATGTTACAAGAGAAGCCTATTTCGCACACTACAGGGATGTAAGTCCATGAGTGCATGCTTTCACAATACTTGATTCTCGCCATGCCTTATGACTCCCTGCATGGATGCGACATGCATTTTTCTATGGCATTGGCAAGCGTGGGGCAAACCTGTTGCCTCACCCAACCTTGTACGATCCCTGACTCTCGCCATGCGGTCTCACTCCCTGCATGGTTGTGATATGCATTTTTCTATGCCATTTGCAAGTGTCGGGTGAATCTGTCACCTCATTCCACCGGCTCCTGCTGCTCTGCATTTCCCTTCCGTTTTCTATCCATGCAACAACACTCGCAGGCAGCACACGGCAACCCAAATTACTTTCTCACCTACGGCAACGGCAAGTCAGGGGCAAAGATGCAGGCTCATCTGAGGCCGAATGGGGCCCACCGATGGCACAACTACATGAAGGTTCCCAAGTGAGTGTGGCTGGTTGGTAGCCTTTAGCCTAGCCCAAGTCAGAGAGATGCAGGCTCATTTGAGGCCGAATGGGGCGCACCGATGGCACAACTACATGAAGGTTCCCAAGTGAGTGTGGCTGGCTGGTAGCCTTTAGCCTAGCCCAAGTCAGAGAGATGCAGGCTCATTTGAGGCCGAATGGGGCGCACCGATGGCACAACTACATGAAGGTTCCCAAGTGAGTGTGGCTGGTTGGTAGCCTTTAGCCTAGCCCAAGTCAGAGAGATGCAGGCTCATTTGAGGCCGAATGGGGTGCACCGATGGCACAACTACATGAAGGTTCCCAAGTGAGTGTGGCTGGTTGGTAGCCTTTAGCCTAGCCCAAGTCCGAGAGATGCAGGCTCATTTGAGGCTGAATGGGGCGCACCGATGGCACAACTACATGAAGGTTCCCAAGTGAGTGTGGCTGGTTGGTAGCCTTTAGCCTAGCCCAAGTCCGAGAGATGCAGGCTCATTTGAGGCCGAATGGGGTGCACCGATGGCACAACTACATGAAGGTTCCCAAGTGAGTGTGGCTGGTTGGTAGCCTTTAGCCTAGCCCAAGTCAGAGAGATGCAGGCTCATCTGAGGCCGAACGGGGCCCACCGATGGCACAACTACATGAAGGTTCCCAAGTGAGTGGCACTGCTGGGAGCGTGACTTTTGGAGTGTGGTGGTTGGAAGTGTGATTCTGTGAGTGAGTGGTGCAGTTGTGTCTCACTGGTGGCATAGTTTTGAAGGTGCCCAAGAGAGTGGCATGGCTGGGAAGATGGGATTATTGGGCGTGGGGTCTATCGGTAGTGTGAACACTATCAGCCTCATGATTGTTGTCTCTCACTCTGCACCCACAGGGAGGTCAAGCTGATGGAGGCGGCACCTAGACACGCTTCTCCTCCCCGTTTCCCAATTCCTCTCCTCCCCATTCCCCATCCCCTTGCTCCCCACCCACAGGGAGGTGAAGCGGCAGTGCTGCACTTCACCTACTCACACTTCTCTGACCTCACGTCTCGGATCATACCCCATGCATCCTCATGTAACATTTGTTACGCCTGTAACCACCCACCGACTCCCCACCCACAGGGAGGTGAAGCTGATGGAAGCGGCAGTGTTGCACTTCACTTACACACATTTCTCCGACCTCACGTCTCGGCGAGACCGCTGCGGGTGCAAGCCCAACTCGGAGGATGTGAAGAAGTGCTTTATGCTCGACTTTGACCGCCTGGTGAGAGATCCTTATGGTAGATGTATGCATGTAGTTTGCATGCATGTTCTGGCTGAGATGTATGTACATGTCTCAGTCAGCTGCGGGTACAAGCCCAACTCGGAGGACGTGAAGAAATGCTTCATGCTCGACTTTGATCGCCTGGTGAGTGCCTTTTTATGTAATATGTACTCCTCTCCTCGTGTGTGTTGGCTCAGACTTATGTGTCTGCCTCAGATGCTGCGGGTGCAAGCCCAATTCAGAGGACGTGAAGAAGTGCTTCATGCTCGACTTTGACCGCCTGGTGAGAGCTTGTCGTGTATTCCTCGTGTGATTTGGTTCAGATGTTCTGCTGTCTGTGACTTGGACCTTGAGGCGGCACAAAGCCACAAGCCCAGCTCAGAGGACGTGAAGAAATGCTTTATGCTCGACTTTGACCGCCTGGTGAGAGATTTCTATTTCTATACATGTAGTCTGCATGCGTGCTGGCTCAGGTGAGCACGCCTCAGCTATGGGTACAAGCCCAACTCAGAGGACGTGAAGAAGTGCTTTATGCTGGATTTCGATCGACTGGTGAGTCCCTTCGATGCAGTTCCCATGTGTGCTGGCTCAGATGCCTTCATCTCACCTGCGGGTGCAAGCCCAACTCTGAGGACGTGAAGAAGTGCTTCATGCTCGACTTTGACCGCATGGTGAGTGCCTGGAAATCAAAACAAGCTGTTATCCTAACACTCACGGAAACACAGGAGCTAATCCTGCCTTCCCTCTTTCACCGTCGCTCGTTCCTTCGTCTCCCGTCCGTCCCACCTCCCATCCCCCGTGCAGGCGATCATCATCGCATCCACGCAGACAGAGGAGCAGATTCCCCTTTCCCCCCTTCCCAGTTCTTTACTCGCCTCATGTTCCTTCCCCTCTCCCTTCTCTTCCCCTCTCCCTTCTCTTCCCCTCTCCCTTCTCTTCCCCTCTCCCTTCTCTTCCCCTCTCCCTTCTCTTCCCCTCTCCCTTCTCTTCCCCTCTCCCTTCTCTTCCCCTCTCCCTTCTCTTCCTCTCTCCCTTCTCTTCCTCTCTCCCTTCTCTTCCTCTCTCCCTTCTCTTCCTCTCTCCCTTCTCTTCCTCTCTCCCTTCTCTTCCTCTCTCCCGTTCCCCCCCCTGCAGGCAGTCATCATCGCATCCACACAGACTGTTTTTTTAGGCGCCTCAAAAACCCTGCAGGCATTCATCATCGCATCCACACAGACAGAGGAGCAGATGTCTTTTCCACCCTTCCAGGTTATTTTCTCGTCTCTTGTTCCCTCCACTCGCCCTTCTCTTCCTCTCTCCCATCCCCCCTGCAGGCCTTCATCATCGCATCCACGCAGACGGAGGAGCAGATGTTCCAATGGTAGGCGTGTGATAAGAATTACTCCTCTCTGTGACATTTTTGCATTTCATCTCTGCTGTTACATCTCCCTTGTCACGATCTCTTTATTGAAACTGTTCTGATACATCCCCTCTGTAACGCCCCTTCAGTTCTATGACTTCTGTTCCTTCTCTTCTGTTTCATCGCTTACCGTCTTCGTCTCATCTTCCTGTGCCGTGTCACATCTACCTTTCTCCTCTCCTCAAACGCACGTGTCACATCCACCATTCTCCTCTCCTCAAACGCACGTGTCACATCTACCTTTCTCCTCTCCTCAAACGCACGTGTCACATCCACCTTTCTCCTCTCCTCAAACGCACGTGTCACATTCACCTTTCTCCTCTCCTCAAACGCACATGTCACATCTACCTTTCTCCTCTCCTCAAACGCACGTGTCACATCTACCTACCTTTCTCATCTCCTCAAACACACGTGTCACATCCACCTTTCCCCTCTCCTCAAACGCACGTGTCACATCTACCTTTCTCCTCTCCTCAAATGCACGTGTCACATCTACCATTCTCCTCTCCTCAAACGCACGTGTCACATCTACCTTTCTCCTCTCCTCAAACGCACGTGTCACATCTACCATTCTCCTCTCCTCAAACGCACGTGTCACATCTACCTTTCTCCTCTCCTCAAACGCACGTGTCACATCTACCTTTCTCCTCTCCTCAAACGCACGTGTCACATCTACCTTTCTCCTCTCCTCAAACGCACGTGTCACATCTACCATTCTCCTCTCCTCAAACGCACGTATCACATCTACCTTTCTCCTCTCCTCAAACGCACGTGACACATCTACCTTTCTCCTCTCCTCAAACGCTTGCGTCTCAACCTCAGGTATAAGGACCATGTGCTGTGGTCAGACCGTGACATGATAGAGAAGCTGCTTAAGAAGGGGATATTCGGTCGCATCCACACTCCCCAGGTACACTGCATTCCTATGAATGTTTATGTTTGCTTTCACACCCTTGCATTCTAGAAGTCTAAAAACTGTTTTGCTACCACACTCTTGATAGTAGGTACTTTAAAACAGTTCCCTGTTGCCTCATCCTTTCCCTGTTCCCTGTTCTCCTCACCCTCTTCTCGACCCTTCTTCTCCCTCCAGCCCATACACCGCAGCACATACGCCACCGGCATCATCAACCGCACTCTTGACTTGAGGCTGCTTGTTTGAAACGGCTCCTCCCTTGCCCCTTCAACCCTCTTCCCCACCCTTCTATCCCCTTTCAGCTCATTCTCCACAGCATATACGCCACTGGAATCATCAACCGCACTCTTGATTCGAGAAGCCTGTTTGATTCAGTTCCCTCGTCCTCCTTTCCCTTCCTCCTTCCCTTTCCGCCTCCCCCCTGTCATTTCAGCTCATTCTTCGCAGCATATACGCGACGGGCATCATCAATCGCACTCTGGAGGCTGCAACTGAGAGGTGGAAGCGCCGCACGCAGCAGCAACAGCAGCAGCAGCAGATTCTTCATCCGCAGCTGATACAGCAGAAGCTGCAGCAGCAGCAGAGGGAGCGATTGCAGCAACAGCAGCTGCAGCAGCCGCAGGAACAGCTGCAAGAGCAGGCGCAGCAGCAAAAGAATCAGCAGCAGGGGCAGCAGGAGAGTGACAGGCAGCCACAGGCAGGGACGAGGCATGGGGTTGGGGAGGGAGGAGGCAGAGCAGCAGCACAGCTGCTACAGCAGGCAGTGGAAAAGGAACAGAGGGAGGAGCAGAGGGAGGAGCAGAAACGGCGGCTTGCGCTCGACAAGGTGTCTCACTTCATTTCTGACAGCGTTAGGGGCGTAGCAACAGCAGCAGCAGCAGCAACAGCAGCAACAGCAGCAGCGGGGCAAACCAACTCTAAGTCCGTCAGTACTGGCCGGGGACGTTCTGGGGAGGCTGGCACGGGCACAGGTTTGGCGAGGTTCGGTGGTGGTTCGGGAGGAGCAGGCTTGGGCGGAGGCATGGAAACTGGTGGGATCGGTGACGGTATGGCAGCTTCTGCTGGTGGTGGTTCTGGTGGCAATAGTGTTATCAGTGGTGGGGGCGGTGGTGGGGCGGCTGGTGGCAGTAGATTGTTCAGAGGAGATGCGCTTGACTCAGCAAGGCTAACAGATAGAGCTGCTGGAGAGAGTGCTGCACACACAGGCGCTGCTGCTGTTGGTGCTGCTTCTGGCAATGCTGGCAGTTCTGGCAATGCTGGTTCTGGTGCTGCTGACACTGCCACACACACAAAGCCTGACCTGCAAATGCAAATGCACACACGAGCGATCGCACGAAGGCGGCTGCTTGGAGCGCAAGAGGCTCAGCCTATTCTAGTAGTGCAAGAGGGGTGGAGTGCGGTAGGGTCTGAAGGTGTGGCAGTGGGAGTTGGAGGTGTGTTAGAGGCTGCTGCTGTGCCCCCACTGGCCTCTCCTGCTCCTCTCCTGCTGCTGTAACACTGTTACGCTGTTATGGAACGAAACCACTGTAACGGTATCCTGATGACGGTATACTTTCGTGGTACCCTATATGGATCTGTCCATTTTGCTTTTTTTTTGCAGGATTCTTTCATAAAATTCTCTACGGTACACCTGATGCTCAACTCAACCACACTGGAATTGCATACAAGCAAAGAACACACTACATGTACACCTGATGCTCCAAAGGGGGGAAGGAAACCCTATTCACATCCAAGTCAGAACAGCAACGTATACTAGAGCTACTGTTGCCAAACTTCCCTTGCTCAAACCTCCCTTCATACTCTACATCGCAGGGTTACCACATGCCATACAGGGTTACCACATGCCATATAGGGTTACCACATGCATGCACATCTATCTGCAGCAGTGTTAACGATTCCGTAGCAGCAGCAGCAGGAGCAGCAGACGCTATATCCCTGGATCAGCATAGGTACAAGCTTGTGAGGAGAAAGGGCCCCCACTATCGCCCTTACACATGCAGCACACCATGCCTCAGCCCTGTTTTGAGATATCATAACACACTCCCCACCATCATCTGACGACCACACCACACTGCGGCAGCAAAAGCACATTGGCAGCAGCAGTGGCGGTGGTGCCAGCAAAACGGCGATTCGACTTAAAACAGTGGCAGAGTATTGGGCCATTTCTACACCCTGCCACCAACAGGCCGAGGCCGATCTCTCCTGTGACACTCCTGTCGACTCCTATCGCAGAATTCGAGATCTCTCAAACTCGACTTCTAGGAACGCTTCCAATCAACTCAACGATCCGCAGCAGCACCAACCGCACCGCCAGGCACCGGAAGCACAACCAGCAGCACCACCACCAGTGGCAGCAGAAGAAATATTCTCAAGCGCTTAAAGGTATATTCCCAGAAGAAGCACCGGCCGGCTTTTGAGGATATCAGCCTTAAAGGGCAGCAGGAGCACCAGCTGCAACCGCACCAACAATGCCACCAGCAGCAGCACCACCGGCAGCAGCACCAGCAGCAACGGCACCACCCCACCGTAAAGCGGAGGACAAGGGGAAATCCACATGCACCCAGAAGAAACACCGACCGGCCTCCCTTGTATACACCACTTCTCCCTTCATACTCTTCAGCATCCTCCTTATAAGGCTCAGCAACACTCCCTCTGCGTTGCTCCTTAACGCACCGCTCCCCGTGCCTCCCACGCTCATCCCCCCGACACTGCCCCCCCCATCACTGCTCGCCCGGCCAAAGCTTCTATCGCCAGCAGAAACAGAAGCACTGGCAGCAGTGGGGGTGGTGGCGGTGGCGGTGGTGGTGGTGGCGGTGGCGGTAGAGGTGGTGGCAGCATTGGAGTCAAACATGTGGTTGATAATCTCCTCTGGTAAACCCCGCCCCGTGTGGGAGATCCTGAGAATGGAAGGGAGAGAGGGAAAGAAAAAGAGGGGTAAAAAACGGAAGTAGGTTGATTCCGAAGCTCCTGTCAGCAGCAGGGGTGGCAGCAGAAGCTCCATCATCAGCAGCATCGGTGGGGACGGTGGTGGCGGTGGCGGTAGAGGTGGTGGCAGCATTGGAGTCAAACATCTGGTTGATGATCTCCTCTGGTAGACCCCGCCCCGTGTGGGAGATTCTGGTAGAGATTGGAAGGGAGAGAGGGAAAGAAAAAGAGGGGTAAAAAACGGAAGTAGGTTGATTCCGAAGCTCCTGTCAGCAGCAGGGGTGGCAGCAGAAGCTCCATCATCAGCAGCATCGGTGGGGGCGGTGGTGGCGGTGGCGGTAGAGGTGGTGGCAGCATTGGAGTCAAACATTTGGGGATCTCCTCTGGTAGACCCCGCCCCGTGTGGGATATTCTGGGGAGGGGAAGGGGAAGAGTGGGGGCGGGGTTTGGCAGTGGGAGAGAAAGAGGAAAGAATGGGAGCAGGTAAGATGCAGTCGAACCCCGCTCCCCGGTGGGGTAAGAATGGGAGCGGGGATGGATGGTGACCTCTGGCAGACCCCGGACTGTGTGAGAGATTCTGAGAGGGGGCGGGACAGCGGGGGGGGGCAGAAAGGCAGACGAGGGAGAGAAAGAAAGAGAGGGAGAGAAAAAGAGTGGGTTTATGAGGTTTTGAGACGTCTCAAAACTAGTTTATGAGGGTAGGATGCAACTGAACATGGAATGGATGGTGTCCTCTAGCAGACCCCACCCCTTGATTAGAGCGCATTTTTTAGACGACGTATAAAAAAATCACTCTTATCACGTGGCAGACCCCACCCCTTGCGGGAGGTTCTGAGAACAGGACTGGAGGGAGGCGTTTTTGATAGGTGCATTTGAGAATTCGCACAACCTCTGAGAAGAAGAGGGAGCATTAGACCGATCATCAATTGCCTTAATTACATCAAGTTGTTACCTACCTTACATAAAGCCACTATACTCTAGCGTACAGCCATTGTGCACATTTGATAGCACCCATCGCATACCTTATATCGAGTTCAGCCATGGTTGTTGTCCCTCGGAAGAGCCGCGAGCCCTTTTGAGTCACCTCCAGCTTCACCAGCCCGGTGGCCTGAGTGTGGCTTACTGCCGCACACAGGAGCCCGCCCAGGATCTGAAAAGGGAGTAGGGTCGAGGGGATGACAACATTTGAGGCGCCTCAGAAGTCTTTTGAGTCACCTCCAGCTTCACCAGCCCTGTAGCTTGAGTGTGGCTCACTGCCGCACACAGCAGCCCTCCCAAAATCTGACAGGCAACGGCAAAGAGGGGGAAGGGGGACCCAAGCGGCAACGGTGTGAATGAGAGAGGGTCTGAATGAAGAGCCGCGACCCCTTTGAGTCACCTCCAGCTTGACCAGCCACGTGGCCTGCGTGTGACTGACTGCCGCACACAGCAGCCCGCCCTGCCCAGGATCTGAAAAGGGAAAGCGGACTGGTGTGAAGAAGATTGTCAGCAGGGCTTGGTTGGGTGAGACGTCTCAAAAACTATCTTCTTGCGAGAGGCCTACAGCAGGGCCTGGTTGGGTGAGACGTCTCAAAAACTATCTTCTTGCGAGAGGCCTACAGCAGGGCCTGGTTGGGTGATAGCCCCCCCCCTTTCCCCGTAAGCTCTGCCCCTCCCTACTCTCACCTGCTGCAATCTCGGAGCATCGCCGCACAGCGGCAGCGTCTTGACGTCACTGCCGAGCTCGAGAGTGAGCTTGGCGCCCTTGCGAGTGGCCAGCAGCGTGGCCTGGCTGATGACTGCTCCACACACAGTCTCCATGGTGAACGGCAGCGTGGCGAGCGGTGCTTGGCTGTGGAGTTGGGGGAGAGAAGGGGGGGGAGGAAAGAGATGAAGGAAAAGGATCAGGTGTGGTGGGGGAAGGGGCAGGAGGAGGAGAGACGTGAACAAGCAGCAGGAATAAAGAGGGGATTTGAGAGCAAGCAGCGTGGCCTGGCTGATGACTGCGCCACACGCGGTCTCCATGGTGAACGGCAGCGTGGCGAGCGGTGCTTGGCTGTGGTTGGGGGGAGGAGGTTGGGGAACAGGGAGGGAAGGGTAAAAGAAGAGCTGTGAGTGGATCCAAGAGCAAGCAGAGTGGTCTGTATGATCACTCGCCCTCACTCACACTCCCTCACTCACTCCACCCCTCGCACTCACTTCCTCACGCACGTCCACACTCACCCCTGCTCGATGGCGAGCATGTCAGTGTCGCTCACAATCTTCCGCAGCTGCGTCTCCAACGCCACGCCTGTGCGCACCCACGGCAGCTGCTTCCCCGAGAACCCTGCGCCCATCTGCTCCATGCGCGCGAACGAGTATGCCAGCCCATCCAACGGCCCACGGCTCATCTCCCTCACATAAGCGACCTGCCTCGCCTTGTCTGAGGCAAGTTTTTCTGCGGTCTTCTGCTTGTCGACGGCTTGCCGGAGCTCCAGAGAGGCCGTGTGGAGGAAGCAGAAGGCGCCCACGACGGAGTTGCCGTCTGCTGAGTGCCGCGGATGCACGGATAGCAGCAGCTCCATGAGGGTTCTCTGGGGGTGGAGAGTGGTGGAAGGGGGTTGGGAGGACAGAAGTAGGGGTTGGGACATGGGAGTTCCAGAGAGGCGGTGTGGAGAAAGCAGAAGGCGCCAACAACCGAGTTCCCATCCGCTGAGTGCCTGGGATGCACGGATAGCAGCAGCTCCATCAGGGTTCTCTGCGGATGGGGGTGTGAGGGTATGGAGAGGGGTACAGGGCGGTCAAAAGGGCAGCTGATGCCGATGTGGCATGGCCTGACCTGACTCATCCCGATCATGGCCTGAGCTTCCTCATTACAGCACCCGCCCTCCATGCTTCCACCTCCCTTCAATCAACCCTCTACCCTCAGTCCACCCCAGCCTATAAGAACCCTCACGAAAAGGGGACCTTGACGGCTTCATGCCCGGCCATGGCCTTGCTAACGACGATCATGAGCTAGGTCATGGCATCACCACACTCCATACTCCTCCCACCACCTCCCCTTAACTCTCAATCCCGAGTCACGACAAACCTCTCAACTCCAGAGTCTCACCTGTCGGTTGAGAAAGGAGAAGGGGACCTTCACGGCTTCATGCCCGGCCATGGTCTTGCTGATGACGATCATAAGCTTCGTCATGGCATCGCCACTCTCCATGCTTTCCACTTCCCTTCAACCCTCAGCTGTCAATCCGGCCAAACCCCTAAGAACCTTGGCCCTCTTAATCCCGGACCCATACCTGGCGATTGAGGAAGGAGAAGGGGACCTTGACGGCCTCGTTCCCGGCCATGGCCTTGCTGATGACGATCATAAGCTTCGTCATGGCATCGCCACTCTCCATGCTCCCACCACCTCCCTCCACCCACCTCCCTTCTACCCTCTCCCACCAACTCTCGTCAACCCCTCGCCTCTGCTCTCACCTGGCGATTCAAAAACGAGAAGGGGACTTTCACGGCTTCATGCCCGGCCATGGCCTTGCTGATGACAATCATGAGTTTCGTCATGGCGTCGCCACTCTCCATGCGGCAGAGGGAGCCAAAGACGTCCCCTATGAGCATGCGCTCCCACACCTCAAAGCGCGTGAACCCTGTTATCCTCTCCATGGCCGCGTTCCACTCCGTGCACAGCCCAAACTCTGCTTGCGGGGGTAAGGGAGGAGGGAAAGGAGGGGGAGAGGAGGGTGTGGAGGGGAGGAAGGGGACCCCGTGACTCTCTCCATGGCCGCGTTCCACTCCGTGCACAGCCCAAACTCTGCCCCAGGGCCATGGGGGGGGGGGGAGGGCGACGGGGGAAAGGGGGAGGCGAAAGCGGGAATGGGTGAAGGAAGGTGAACCCCATCTCTCTCTCCATGGTCGCGTTCCACTCCGTGCACAGCCCAGACTCTGCCCATCAGAGGGAAGGAGGAAGAAGGGGGAAGGAGGAATGGGGAAGGGGAAGGAGAAGGGGAGGGGGGAGGTTGAACCCCGTCACTCGCTCCATCGCTGCATTCCACGCCGAGCACAGCCTATGTTTTTTTAGAATTCTCAAAAAACATACACAGCCCAAACTCTGCGCGCTGAGTGGAAGTTTTTGGGGGGATAGGGGAAGGAAAAGGGGAGGGAGGGTGAGCAAGAAGCGCACTGGGCTCAGGAGATGGGATGAAGCCGAAACGCTGGTGGGAGGAAGACAGGAGGAAGGAGTCAATGGCCTTGATATGGCTCGCGAAGCACACCTCCTGCACCTCTTGCTGCGCCCCTCCCTGCCACTCCCCCCGTTCCCTGCCATTCCCCCACTCACTGCCATTCCCCCACCACTGCCATTCCCCCACTCACTGCCATTCCCCCACTCACTGCCACACCCACACTACCCATCACAGCCACAACAACCCCAGGGCGTTCAATCAACTCACCATCGCAGCCGAAGATGGGGGGGATGAGGGAGCTGTGCGCGTGCACAATGGCCTCATAGTCGCGTCCTGCCCCACGAAGCACACCCCCTGCACTTCCTGCTGCGCCCCTACCTGCCACTCCCCCACTCCCCGCCATTCCCCCACTCACTGCTACACCCACACTCACAGCACAGCCACACCCCCACTCCCCATCCCAACCATCCCAGGCTGTTAAATTCAATCAACTCACCATCGCAGCCGAAGATGGGGGGGATGAGCGAGCTGTGCGCGTGCACAATGGCCTCATAGTCGCCCTTCACCTTCCTGAACTGGTCATTCACCACCCTCTCTACCGTCACATCCTGCCCCACGAAGCACACCCCCTGCACCTCCTGCTGCGCGTCGCGGCTCACAAACGTGTTGGCCAATAGGATCACAGACGACCCCACGTCAATCCCAAGGGCCTCGGCACCAGCACCGGCGGTGCTGCCAGCTGCAGCTGTGGCGGAAGCAGCGGCGGCGGCGGCGGCGCTGCCTGTGCTGGCGGTGCGAGCTGAGGGGCCGGAGAGGCTGCGCTCTGTTCCCCACGAGTGCAGGCGCAGCTGAATGTTATGCGCCTCGCGACCTGTGAAAGGAGAAGGTTTGGTGGGGGATGGAAAGGGAGGGGAGGAGGGGTAGAGGAGGAGTAGAGGCTTCTTTAATAAAGGCCCTTGCCCCGAGAGGCTGCGCTCTGTTCCCCATGAGTGCAGGCGCAGCTGGATGTTATGTGCCTCCCGGCCTGCATGGGAAACCGGGGAATTAGAGGGGGGAGAGGGGGCAAGGAAGAGCATTGGGTGGTGAAAGGAAGTGCTTTGAGGAGCCGGAGAGGCTGCGCTCCCCTGGTGCACCCCTAAGCTCACTATCGTGGGGTAAAAAAGCAGCGGCACAGACACGGAAACACCTGGGGAAAAGGCTATCCACCTACCCACCTTGGAAGGCGAGGTCTAGGGCGGCATGCAGCTGCGTCTTGGACTGCATATCTGCTAGATCGTCCACGAGGGATTCCCGATGGCAGCAGAGAAGGGCAGCCCTGTGATCGCCTCGCCGCCACCTTGGCTCGAGGCGCTACCTTACCAGAGCTTGCCATGGGGCAAACCTACCTTGGAAGGCGAGGTCGAAGGCGGCATGCAGCTGCGTCTTGGACTGCACGTCTGCTAGATCGTCACCTTGACTTGAGGCGCTACCTTACCAGCGGTTACCATGGGGCAAAAGAGCAGCATCACTGAAACACCTGGGGAAAAGGCAGCCCACCTTGAAACGCGAGGTCTAGGGCGGCGTGAAGCTGCGTCTTGGACTGCACGTCTGCTAGATCGTCCACGAGGGATTTGCCGATGGCGGCAGAGAAGGGCAGCCCTGTGAGCGTCGCAACCTTGTTGTTCCACCCCGTGATGCACCCCTCGCGATCAACGGCCAGGATCGGCGCAGACGCCGTCTCGATGAAGTGCACGAGCTGATCAAAGGTTGCCGCGTACAGCTTGTCCAGCTCCTGGTGTTGAGGGAGAGAAGGTTGAAAGCGGTGGAGAGGGGTGGGAAGGTTGGTTGGAGGAGGGAGAGTGGTTGGAACGAAGGATTGTACCAGAGCTGATTGAACGTGGCCGCGTATAGCTTGTCGAGCTCCTGGTATAGTGGAAACAGGGAGGTGGGGCGGGGCGGTGAGGGGTGGGAGGGGGTGATGGATTGGGAGAAGACGCAGAGGCCGTCTCGGTGAAGTGAACGAGGTGGTCGAACGTGGCTGCGTACATCTTGTCCGGCTACTGGTGTTGAGCGGAGGGCGGAGGGGAGTGGTAAGGGAAAACGGGGTTGGAAGGGGAGGAATTGGGTGGAAGGAGGTGCATGAGCCGATCGATTGATATGAGATGAAACGCATGAGCTGATTGATATGAGATGAGATGAAACGCACGAGCTGATTGATTGATATGAGATGAAACGCACGAGCTGATTGATTGATATGAGATGAAACGCACGAGCTGATTGATTGATATGAGATGAAACGCACGAGCTGATTGATTGATATGAGATGAAACGCACGAGCTGATTGATTGATATGAGATGAAACGCACGAGCTGATTGATTGATATGAGATGAAACGCACGAGCTGATTGATTGATATGAGATGAAACGCACGAGCTGATTGATTGATATGAGATGAAACGCACGAGCTGATTGATTGATATGAGATGAAACGCACGAGCTGATTGATTGATATGAGATGAAACGCATGAGCTGATCGAAGGTTGCTGCGTACAGCTTGCCAAGGCACATTAAGGCACGTGCGTGCGGAGGAGCACAGCCTCACGAAGAATTATCTGCACCGAGTTGATCTGCACCGAGTTGATCTGCACCGAGTTGATCGCATCCACCTCCAGGTCCTGCCACAGTGCCGACCAATGCCTCACTACCTCCCGGTGGGCTTGGGTGTTTCACCTCCTCCAGCTTCCAGGTGGGGTTGGGCGCTTGACTTTTCTAGAAACACCCAAGAGAGGGGAAGAAGAAAGAGAGGAGAAGAAGAAGGGCAGGACGAAGACTCACCTCTGGGGAGAGAGCCATTTCAGCAGCACCGCCCCCTCCTCCCCCGACAGGCACACCAAGGCGCATCCTATGCACAGCATCTCTGATAATGATCTGCACCGAGTGAATCGCATCCACCTCCAGGTCCTGCCACGGCGCCGACCGGTGCCTCACCACCTCCAGAAACGCTTCAAAGGACTGCCGCGGGTTCATCTTCTTTATATCGTCCTTCGGGGCCTTCCCGGGCTTCTGCTTCGCGCCGCTCCAGTGGATCTGCTTCTGCACGTGCGATCTCAGCCACAGGATGAAGTCGGACTCGCCGATCTGGGCCATTGCTACTCCGCAGACGGAGTCCCCGAGGGAGGTTGCGAGGGGGTAGCCGGCGGCCAGGAGGCTGTCGATGGTGAGACCCGTGGTATTGGGGTGGGCCGTTTGGATCCACTCGATGATTGAGAGCACCTGGGTGGAGTGCGGTGGAAGGGAATGAAGAGTAATGGGTTGCGGTGAAGAGGGGTGATGGGGAGTGAGGCGGGGTAGAGGCTGCTTATGGGTAGCCGGCCGCAAGGAGACTGTCAATGGTGAGCCTGGTGGTGTTGGGGTGGGCGGATTAATCCCATTCGATGATTAAGACCACCTGGGTGTAGTGCGGTGAAGAGGGGTGGAGGGGGTTGAAGAGGGGTGGGGTGCAGTGATTGTGAAAAGGGGTGACCGTGAAGGGGGGTGGGGCAGGGCAGAGGCTGCTGCTCAAGTGTAGTCAGCAGTGAGGAGGCTTTTCAAATTCTAGCCAGCAGCTAAGGAGTTTTGAGATGCTGTGGTGGGCACTGGGCCGTTCGATTTGTGTTCGATTTGTGCCAAGAGGGCAAGATTTCCGTTGTTCCTGCCTCTCTCCCTCACCTGTTCCTTGGTGGGCGCAGTCCCAGAGGAGTAGAACTCCCCATCCACCAGCAGCGCAGCGCCGTCGCACTCCACCAGGTCGCGCACGGAGGGGCGCGCGTCAGGGGCCATGAGGGCGTGGAAGGGCGCGTTGGCGAGCATCATGTGGCACAGCTGCGTCTGCAGCTGCAGGATCTGCTGCTCCCTCTGCTGCGCCTGCAGCTGTAGCTCCTTGGCCAGTTGCAGCGTGAACACCTGGCAGGGTGGTGAAAAGGGGAGAGGAAGGAGAGAATGGGATGGAAGGTGGGTGGGGGAGGAGGGCAGAGGCCAACATCAGGCGTGGAAGGGTGAGCTAAAGGGCACAGACACGTGTGTGAACAGCTCTACTGAACGCCGCTGAAATGCAGGTCAGCACAAGCAAATGCAAATTAACAAATCTCTCACTCTACCCACCAGCACCACACCCCCATCTCAAATCTCAGCCCACCTGCATGAGAAAGTCGCAGGCAGAGCGCACAGGGAAGGGCACATAGCGTGGAGAAGTGTGGTGGCACACAATCATCCCCCACAGCCGCCTCCCCTTCGTGTGTGATGAGGCGATTTTTGAGTCGACTCAAAAATCCCCCACAGCCACCTCCCCTTCACACACAACCCCCCTTCTCGACCCCCCAGCATCCCATCCCACCCCTCTCAACCCACCTGCATGAGGAAGTCGCAGGCAGAGCGCACAGGGAAGGGCACATAGCGCGGAGACGTATGATGGCACACAATCATCCCCCACAGCCGCCTCCCCTTCACCTCATCCAGCGTCGACAACACCCCCCCTCCCCCTCCCCCACCTCCCCCTCCTCCTCCCCCATCCTCCCCCTCTGCCCCGCCCCCACCCGCTCTCCCTCCAATCGCCGCCGGCAACGCCTCCTGGTCCCTCAGAACGATGGACAGGCAGAGCGACGCGGATATAGCCATGTTTTGCATGTACTGTGCGTGGCACCCATGCACCGCCCGCAGCGTCGACGTAGACAGGCTCACCGGCTGCTTCAAAAACCCCCTCTCCTGCGCCACCTTCACGGGCTTCGATTTCGCGTCGCAGATCATGCGGATCCGATTCTTCAAGAATAAAATCCGGGACGCCTTGGGGATATCCGTGGAGGGGTAGTGCAGCCCTAGGTAACTCTCTAGGGGGCGTTTCCGGTCCTCTGCTATCACCTCCCCATGCTCGTCCTCGTGGAATTTATACGCCATGACTCTATCGTATCCTGTGAGCTGCCGAATCTCCTCTACCAGCGCCTGGAAGAGTAAATCGAGGCTGCTTCCAGAGGGGATGGCTTGCAGGCGGGAGACAGCGTGGGTGGCGAGCTTGTGGGAGTGGAGCGCACCGGCACCGTTCACAGCAGGGTCTGAGGGAAGAATCGGCTCCAGGTCGATCAGAATGGTGCCTCGCTTGACCTTGCCGGTAGCAGCAGGGGCGCTGCTTTCCCCATTGCCGTTCGCAGCAGCAGCGGCGGCGGCGGCGGCGGTGGTGGTGGTGGTGGAGGAGGAGGAGGAGGAGGAGGAGGAGGAGGAGGAGGAGGAGTGAGTTTGGCGGTGCAGGATTGCGTAGAAGGGGCGGCAGGAGAGGGAGGACTGCACGAGCACGGGGTTCATAAGTGCCATGTCCCGCGCCCCCATCGCCTTCTCCAGCGCCGTCACGCTCTCAGGGGTGAAGAGAATCCGAGCGTCTGACCCCAGGCCTGTATGGGGGGCAGGGTAGGGGGTGCAGGGGAGGGAGTGGGTCAAATTTGACTCTAGAATTACCACCGGCACCAGCAGTAGCAGCAATAACAGCAGCAGCAGTGGCGGCGGCAGGAGAGGGAGGACTGCACGAGCACGGGATTCATAAGCGCCGTGTCCCACACTCCCGTCGCCTTCTCCAGCGCTGTTACACTCTCAGGGGTGAAGAGAATCCGCGCGTCCGACCCCAGGCCTGTATGGGGGCCAGGGTAGGGTAGGGATGCGGGTGTGGTGTGGTTGTGAGGGTGGTGGACTCTGTTCTGTTGCTCCCGTCACCTTCTCCAGCGCCGTTACACTCTCTGGGGTGCACAGGATGGATAAGTCTGAACCCAGGCCTGCATGGGGGGGAATTGAGGGTGCGGGAGTGGATCAAAATTGGTGAGGGTGCGGGTGCGGGGGGGTGAGGGTGTGGGAGTGGGTCAAAATTGGTAAGGGTGCGGGTGGAGGGGGCGAGGTGCGGGAGTGGGTCAAAATTGACTCAAGAATCGGCACCACCAGCAGCAGCAGCAGCAGTGGCGGCGGTGGGAGTGGAGGAGGAGTGGCGGCAACAACAATGGGACAGGGGGGTGTGGGTGCGGGAGAGGAGTCAGAGTTCACTCAAGAATCAGCAGCAGCAGAAGCAGCAGCAGCAGCAGCAGCAGGGTTGGAGTTATGAGGGTGGGGTGTCTGTTGCTTGCTGGCACTGCCTTGTCCCATGTCCCCACGCTCTCAGGGCAGAAGTAATCACCCTCCAAGCGCCTACAGAGCAGCCAAGGTTCCTCCCACGTTCTCTGCCACCTGCCAATCGCCATTACCCCACCCCAGTCCAGCCCGTTTCTGCTACTGCCACCCACACCCATCTGGAGCTTGCAGAGCAGGCGATATCCCTCTCACGCTCTTCGAGACAAGTCAAACGCTACGACCCCAGTCAAGTCTGCTTCTGCCATTGCCACACCCACCTGTTTCACCCACACCCACCTGTTTCACCCACACCCACCTGTTTCGCCCACACCCACCTGTTTCTCCCACACCCGTCTGTTTCGCCCACACCCGTCTGTTTCGCCCACACCCGTCTGTTTCGCCCACACCCGTCTGTTTCGCCCACACCCACCTAGAGCCTGCAGAGCAGCCAAGTCAGCAGACGTGTGGGGCGATCTGCCTGTGGGATTCCCCTTAATGCTCGCCTTGGGACTGCCGATCCCCGTCCCCTCTGCCGGATCCGCATTTGCCGCCCCCGCGGACGTCCGCGACAGCAGCCGTCGGATGGAGAACGATCGTGCGGACGAGAGGGCAGGAGAGGAGGAGGAGGTGGGGCGCGCGACTGAATTCGAAATGTCAACTTCCCCAGGGAGAGCGGAGCTAGGAGAGGGACCATCCCCATGCCCGGAAGCGGAAGAGGGGCGTGAAGAGGGAGAGCAAGCCTCTTCCAGAGACATGCACCCCACCCCCACCCCCACCCCTCCCCCTCCTCCGCCACCACCGCTTCCCCCGCTCCCCCCTCCCCCTCCCCCGTTAGCCGCGCTGCTGTCGCTGGCGCCCGCGGGGAGGGGAGCGGCAGGGTTTCTGGCGGAGCGGGAGGTGGAGCGCAGGAGCGCGCGGTTGGAGCGGTTGATGGCGCGCATTACCCGGTCCATCACGAACCCGAGGGGGCCTGGGGAGCAGAAGGAGGGGAAGAAGGGGGGGGATGGTGGGGGAGGGGGTGTTCGGTGGGGGAAAGGAAGGAAGGGGAGGAGGCGAGGAGGATATGTGAGGGGAGTTGGATTAGCGGTTGGAGCGGCAGATGGCGCGCATTACCCGGTCCATGCGAATCTGGAAAAAAAACGCGCATTCAGGGGAACAGCACGCATTGGCCGGTTCATGCCAATCTGGAAAAAAGCTCTCATGTGAGCGAATGTTTTTAATTTGTCAGGAAGGACTCTCAGGGATGGCACGGTTGAAAGTGGCCCGGGAGCAGGGGGGGCGAAAAGCCGAGGCGGAACCTTTTTTTAAACAAAGAGATACTGGGAATTGGCTACTTCTAACAACCGGCTGATAAGAACTGGCTGTTTCTGGAAACTGAGCAGATCGTCGAGGGAGGGGTTTGCGGGAGTTTCGAGACAATGTAAAATGGGTGAGGTGAGGTGAGGAACGGATACAAGCAGGTTGAAATTGAATTGGGGGAAATACGATGTAAGTAGGGCGATGAAGGGCGGGCTGATATAGGATCAAACGGTACGGGAAGTAGGATGTCGTGGGAGCTTTGGAAGGCCGTAACCATAACGGACAAAGAGTTCGTTCGCACGTTACCAGCGCTCTAGCCGAGAACGGTGCGATTCCACGTCCTATACTATCGAGCGTACGCATTTATGTAGTACGTACCGGCGGAGGACTTTTGCGGAAGGCACAGCACTTCCGGTACATTGTCACTGTACGCCAAGAGACGAAACGTCCCTTCCTCAACCAATAGGACGCAGCCGAACGACTGTATCATCCCGCCGCGTTCCATCTTAACCAGGAAGCTGCTCACGTCCTTGTCTACCTCCTCCATTGCTGCTCCTGCGCCTGAACCTCCCGCCTTGGACTTTCCGCTCTTGCTCTTCTCCTTTCCTGACCCCGACCGTTCCTGTGTCTCCATTGGAAAAACCGGCTGCTTGATGAAATTAAGTGCTAAAAAGCGACAGGAATAAATGGGTTAATTTGGTCGGTGGCCTGTGATTGTACGGAAATATTCTGTCTAAGGCTTAAGCTGGAGCACCCATAATGACCTGTTCGCAGCTAATATAGGATACGACGACACCAGGACGTCAGGATGTGAGACTCCCTAGCTTTATCATTACCACCTGGCATAATCTAGTATCCGTGAGTGAAGCTGCACACTAACAACGATCAATCCGTCGTTCATTTGTCCCAAAAGGTCAAACTCTGTGAAACCTGTGACGAGCAGAAATGCCGTGGAAACGTCAAAAGCCTGCCTTTCAAAATTACGGACATGACTGCACCTCCGAGGTATAACTTATCACGCTTTTCGTTTGGTCTAGCCTGCCATGGAACGCCATTTCGCAATGAAATGTACCGGTGTTACTGGCTCTACCACCAGAAACACACACGTACTGACGCACAGCCGTGGCTACTTAATGTCTTTGAAGGACTTATCAAAGACAAGAACGAACCGCGTTTCATGGTAGTGAGGCCTAGCGAAAATGGCCTTCTTTCCTAAAACTTGGTCCTACGACAATAAAGGCGAGCCTAGGTGGCTTTTTGCAATCCGAAACAACACAACACACTCGACTTGGGCTGGTTTGGGTCACTTGCATTCCGTTGCAATGCAACTCGACTCGATTTTGGGTCTGAAAGGCAAATCGGATCACCTTTGGATAATGCTGTCGCTCGTACGTACGAGGAAATCGAAATTGCTGCCTCTTCCCCCAGGCCAAGCTCTTTTGCATGGCTGCATTTCTTGAGAGGTTTTACCCGACTGACCTCTTCGAATACGGATGTTTTCTATTACACCGGGATAAATCCGGATTCTGAGAGCTAGTTCTGTTAACGCGACTCATTTCGGGCTTGGTGATATACACGTGGACACGCGCACCCATCCCGTGCTCCAAATTACTAGTAGAACAGAGTACGACAATGGGAGGTGGAATGAGAGGGTGCGGGCCCTGGTGGTGTGTGTGATTTAGTTTACAAAAGTGTAGGAAATAAGTGTGAATTATACTAGGGAGATCGCGACGTTAAAGATGTTACTTTGTAGGTGTGTGGAATGTTCTTTAGAACACAGCCTCGTCACAATCAGATGTAGAGCCGGGTTACCTTTACTCCACCCGGATTTTCCCACCCGCCACCCGGGTCCTTTGTCCGTGGCGCTGCCGAGTCGTCTGTACTAACGGTTTGCGCTGCCCGTCATGGGGAAACTCCACTTCGACGTCAATAAGAAGGTTCCATAAGAGGCAGAAGCACTTTTGTGCTCAGCTTGCTGTCATCATCAGCCTGGTATCAACGGGTGCATAGCGAATACGATTTGAACACGGCATGGTTTGCCGGGAGATGTGCCGTCAACCATATGAGGGTGTACGTAGCTCTAAATCAAGTCGCCTCTTTCCCTGACGCGCCGCGTAACCCCCCCAACCACAAGCATAATCAAAGCCACACCACGAAAACTCCTTGGGGCCAAACCAGAGAGAATCCGCACCGAACCTCAGACGAATTAGGCAGCCACTAGGCGGTTTGCGAGGATTCCCTTGTTTCGGGGGGACCAGTAAGCAGCAAGCACATTGATAACAGGAACCAAACAGTGACGTGGCTAAAATAGCCATCCAATGAAGACGGTTACTGTATCGATAAATTTATGCTATATTTAAACTTCTCAGCAAACTTCTAAATGAATCTGTCAAGCATGGGCATGTTGCCCCCTTAGCAATAGTAATCTGCACTAACCCTGCATAGGTACTTGCATTCCAGGAAAACCACCTGTTCAGCATTTGAACAAATACAACATGCATAGCATACACTTAGTCTTGGTACGCTTAAACTTGTATGCATGCACCTGTACAAGTGACCCGCAAAGAACTAGCAGCCAAGTACAGTGGCACGGAATGGACGCTACACAAAATACCCCACAGTTGAAGATAGGTCATTGATAACCTGCACAGAAAGAAGGCACGTGTAGCACAAAAAGGGTGGAAAACTCAACATGCAAATTCACTCACCCATGTTATAACTTATCTGCTATGCAACTCTAGGCCTCCTAATAAATGTATCATGTACCATCTTACATTAGCTACAACCTCTTCCCATACCAGCAACCTCTCTCATCGTCACGTCACCCCTCTCCCACCACGCCTCTCCTATTCACCCCCACTACTCACCTCCAGCTGCTCCGCACTGAAAGCCTCTTTATGAATGTGCCAGCTGTCGGCATGTGTGCGCTTGAAGTCCCCCAGAGCCTTCCCCACCGCAGGGCCAACTGGGGCAGGCTCTTGTGCAAGGCTGGCAAGCGACAGCAGCACGTCTGGTAACCACCTGCACATCAACAAATATTCGGAAACGGGAGAAAAATGAAGGAGAGTGAACCTTCTCAGTTACACGCCCAACTGGAGCAGTCTCTCCTGCCAGGCTGGCAAGTGAGAGCAGCAAGACTGGTGACCACCCGCATGGATCCGCATGTTTGGAGAAACAGAACCAGGGAGCGGGCTCTGTCAGTCAAGGTGCAAAATTTAGGCGGATTTTTCTTTTTTTGGGCGAAATTTTCGCTGTCCAAGCTTTCGCCCGAAGTTTTCGTTAAATTTCGGTCAGAAAAAGAATATTATCCATGGGTGGAAAACTTCACCCGAAATTTTCCAAAAAAAAAAAAAAAAAAAAAAAACAGTCACGTCTAATTGAGTATATATGGGTAATATCTTGCTGGAAACCTGCCATGTATTATATGCAATGAATAGTTTTTAGTGTGTCAATCAATTATGAGACTGAAGTATCTGAGCAATACTAGTGAAACGGTGATGTATCATGTCATGTGCATTCAGGAAAGTGCTCAATCAGTGCAATGGCATGATATGGAATAAAAGGCAGAGGTATACGTGTTTTTTTTTTTTTTTTTTTTTTTTTTTTTTTTTTTTTTTTTTTTTTTTTTTTTTTTCCTCCTTGAGGCCGAACAAAATTTCGCCGAATTTTTAAAAATTCCAGCGAATTTTTTGGGCGAAAATTTCGAAGCGAAAAATTCGCCTAGCGAAATTTTCAACCTTGCTGTCAGTCACATACTATCAAGCTAACAGGCTTTCCTGCCAGGCTGGCAAGTTGCAGCAGTATGTCTGGTAACCACCGGAACACCGAAGCATGCCAATTTCAACGCTCGAGTTCCTATGTGATTTTCCAGGCATGACAATCGTCTCACTTTTGTATGCTAACTGTGCACTGAATACTGCATTCTTCTGCTACTGGAGCAGATCTTACAGGGGAACATCGTATGGTGCTGATCGCACGGCAGCAGCAAGCCCAAGCGCCGATCCATGCATCTTGACTGTCCGTGCTGCCGCCTTGGCTGCCGAGTCAGCATCCAACGGCTTTCCCCCACTGGCCCGTTTGCGGGAGGCTCTCGAGGCCTTGAGCGTGGCTGCAGCTGATTGGATGAAGCTCTGGCGAATGACAGCTGGCCACGTGTCACCCTGTGGGGCTGCCTTGAAAAGGCCTGCCAGCGTGGCGGATGCCATGTCACGCACCTGTGACAGGTTGGGAAGACAAGGAAATGAACGGGTGAGAAGGGGGTGAGGGGAAAAAGGGGAAGGAATGCACCGCCAGAAGCAGAAAGAGACAAAAAACCATGGGGACATGGAAAGAAATACGAACGAATGGTGGCAGACAAAGCAGCGGTGGCGAGTAGTAGTATAGCGGGATAGTGCAAGGAAAGAGAGGTGTGTGCATTGGAGAGCAGAACCATTCCTGTTGCCGGGCATTATGGCAGGCAGTGATGGCTCGTGACAAAATTACTGCAGTGACCGTGTGTTAGGGTTCCGGGTCCATGTGTGTTCACCTCTGGCTTTAAGCTTTTGAGACGTCTCAAAAGTTATAGCAGACAGGCAGTGATGTCCTGTGACAACATTACTGCAGTGACGGTGTGTCAGGGTTCAGGATTCATGTGTGTTTACCTCTGGCTGTGGGTCTTGCAGACATGCAATGACGGCTTGACGAAGAGATGTGAGGTCGGCGGATGAGAGAAGGAATCCGTTGCTGCAAAAGAAAGAATGGAGATGGGTATGCGGTGGTTAGTCAAGCGGCTTGAGATCTTGCAGGTATCTATTCAGGGCCCGACGAAGAGATGAGAGGCCAACGGGAGAGAGACAGAAGCCATTGTTAGAGGGGACAGATGGAGATGGGTGGTGGTGGTGAGGATGGTGATAGCACAGTCAGATAACCTGGCGAGATGTTTACGCAAGGGTGTGTGTGTGTGTGTGTGTGTGTGTTTTTTTTTTTTTTTTGGCTTGTTTGTGTATGCATGTATGCTTGCGCTCGTGCGTGTGCATGTGGCACATGAACCCACCGGAAAACAAAGGACTGGCAGAACGAGAGAGCAGCCGCCCTCTCCTTCCAGTTGCTCGACTGTGCCGCTGCCAGCACAGCCGCTGCTGCTGCTGGAACGGCAGTTGCAGGGAGCGGCAGGTACTTGGTGTATGCCAGGCATTGCTTGGCGAGGAGAGACAGATCCGTGTTGGGGGTTTCCTGGAGTGAGAGAGGAGGAAAGGTATAGAAGCATTGGGGGGGGGGGGGTGATTGAAAAGTGGTTCCAGGGAGGGGCAGGTACTTGGTGTATGCCAGGCATTGCTTGGTGAGAGAGAGAGGTCCGCGTTGAGAGTTTGCTGAAACACGGGACGATGAGGATATTGAGAGGTAGAGCAGGAAGAGGGAAACGTTAACACCAGATATGTTATGTTGGATGCAGGGAGGGGCAGGTGCTTGGTGTAGGCCAGGCATTGCCTGGCGAGCAGTGAAAGGTCCGTGATGGGAGTTTCCTGATAAGGGAAGGACAGTGAGAGGTAGAAAAGGCATCGATTGGTGAGGAGTAAGAGGTACGATTCAGGAATAACTGAAATGAGAGGGGAAAAAGGGAGCAAAAGCAATGGAGGGAGATACTCGGTGTATGCAAAGGCATTTGTAGCAAAAAATAAAACAATTCTCAAGGATCCCCGAGAACAACAGGGAGATGAGGACATGGGATGAGTGGCAGAAAGAAGGACGCGAGAGGAGTGAGCTAAACATATAGCATCCTACAGACTAGATGTCGGACGCTCTGTCTAACTAAACAAGGAAACTGTGGGATGTACACCCAACCGACCTGAATGGAAAGCAGAGGCGGCAGCAGAGCGACGATGGTTGGGAGGAATGGAGGGGCATCTCCCGACTTGACAGCAGACATGAGGAGGTAGAGAATCTGAGGGGGTGAAGAGGGGTTTCGGAGGGGTTGGGAGGAGTTTGGAGGCTGGCATTTGAGTCAACAAGCGGGTGTGGGTCCTGACGAGGGTGTGGGGGTTTAGACGGAAGTGATTCGAAACCAAGGACATGCAAGCTCCTATCTTTTGCAAGATATAAAACAATACGTAACTGCCTAAAAACTGATACAAGCACATGAGTTGTTTTTGGGGAAGCACTTACAGACTCCATCGTCCACATGCTCCTGTCCTCCTCAGACCCCTCCCTCCCTGCTTCACTGCTCCCCTCATCCCCTCCCACCTTCCCCTCCACCTCTTCCATCTCCTCCTCTTGCTTCTTCGAACCCTCCTTTGTCTCTTTCTGCTGCTCGGTGCTGCTTCCCATGGACTTGATCACTGTAGCAGCTTTGGCAGCTTCTGCCAAGATATGATTTGACAGGCTGGCAGCAACAGCGGCAGAAGCGGAGGAGGAGGAAGAGGACGAAGCGGCGAATCTAGTGCTGAGTGCAGCCAGAAGAGCAGATAACACCTCCCCCAGAAGCTGACGAACCTGTCTCGCACTATGTGTCATCAACCCCTTAGCTTCCTCTGCCAATCTCGTAAGGAATTTCAATTCCTCCTCATCCTCCTCCTCCTGTTGCTCAGTACTCTCAGCCCTTCCCTCCCCTTGCCCCATCTCCCCTACCGCCACCACCAGCAGCATCAGCCGTTTTGCCTGCTGACCCGAGGCCGCGTTTCCTGGAAGCTTCTCCAGAAGCTTCTCCCGCACGAGCCGCTGGATCCTGCCCCTCACCCCCCCTCCACCCCCCCCACGTCCATCCGCTGCCCCCTCTGAACCCCCTGCTTCAACAACTTCCCAGCTGCTCGCATCCTGTCTCCTCCAGGACAACACATACCTCACACACGTGGCCCAGTCAGTTTGAGACTCAACTGAGCAATGCAGAATGGCTTGATGGAACAGATGAGCCAGCCAACCAGGAACGGGCGGATTCAAAGACAGCGAGGCAGAACCAAGCGGAGCCTCCGCTTCCGCCCCGGCCCGGACCTGGGTGTCGGCCTCGGCCCGTGCCTCGGGCTCAGGCTCGGCGGACCAGGCGTGCAGCACAGCAGGGTGTGCGGAGGCGAGGAGGCCTGCGATGATCTCTGCTGCTGCGCTCTGTGCTCCCTTGTCTGTCTCCTTGGCAACCAGGTCTTGAAGGCATGGGTGAAGTGCGTGTAGGAAGGCCATCACTGCTGCTGTGCTGCCAGATGGACTCCCAAATACGGTGGCAGATGTGTTGGCAGCGGCAGTGTCAGTTGCAGCAGCAGTGCTAGCAGCGCCAGCAGCGGTGCTAGCAGCGCCAGCAGCAGTGCTAGCAGCGCCAGCAGCAGTGCTAGCAGCGCCAGCAGCGGCAGCGGCTTGCAGGAGGAGCTCAAAGAGCATCGCATTCGCCACCACAAAGGAAGAAGACTGCGGACAGGACGGCACCAAACCCCGGGACTTGCTCCTCGGCCAATCCGAGAGCAGCGCTGACGTGGCAGACGCCCCAAGCCCCGCGCTGAACAGAGCCGATACTGTAGCTCCAGGATTATCGCCCCCGCCCGCCCCGTTCCCCCCTCCCCCGCCGCCGAATAGACCTGCCAGCCTTCCCCCGCCGCCCCTGCCCCTCCCCCGCCCATTTGCCCCCGAGGGGAGATCTCCGGATTGATGGTCGAGTGAGAGGTGGAGTGTGAGGGAGGAGAGGAAGGCGGGGGAGGTGAGGAGGGAGAGTGGGAGGAGAGGAGGAGTGAGTGAGGAAGAGAGGGGGGAGAGCTCGGTGGTAGGAGGTGTGGTGGATGGAGGAGAGGAGGGGAGGAGGGGACGCTGGAGTGAAGGGGGGAGGAGGAGGAGGAGTGCGGAGGTAGCGAGGGGCCGGAGGAGGGGGAGAGGACCTGCAAGGAGGCCGAGGTAGTGCAGAGGCAGGTATGGGGTCTGCTGTTGTTGAGAGAGAGTAGAAGGAAGCTGCTGTTGAATGATAGAAGAGGCGACATCGGCAGAAGGTGGAAGAAAAGGAGGAGTAAGAGGAGGAGGTGAAGTGGAGGGGACGGAGGAGGAGAGGAGGGCGAGCAGTGCATTGGCCATGAGAGCGTACCTGCAATAGAGGAGGGTTAGAGGAAGAATGCATGGGGAGGGAACGAGAGAGGGGCGAGGGAAAGGGTGGGGCGTGCAGGGGGGTGTTGATGAGCAGCGCATTACCCATGAGAGCGTATCTGGGAGAGAGGAGGGTTAGACGAGTAATGCACACGGAGGGCAAAGGTGAGGGTTTTAGGGGGGTGGGATGTGGCGAGCGAGGTAAAGGGTAAAACAGTGGGAGGCAGCTTAATTGAGATAAAATTCACTATTTCAAATAAAAAAACCAAGAGGAGTCTTAGAAAGGAAAAAAATACGAAAAAAACAGGAGGGGGGAGAGGAGAAGGAAAACTCACCTCCAGTGCGTGGCTGCAGAAGCAATTGCGCTGCCATCAGCAGCAGTAGCAGTTGGTGCACTCGCACCACCAGTAGCAGCAGCACTGGGAACATTCACAGCAGCCACAGAAGCTGCGGCAGCAGGAGAAGTGATGGACCAGAGGAGTGCGAGAGCTCCCTGTGCTTGAGAAGCGACGTCAACATTACCACCACTAGACTCCCACCCACTCTCCCACCCACTCTCCTCCCTCTGAGTCTGCTCCTCTTGACCTTGCTCCTCTCCCATAGCAGGCACCCGGCGGGGCCGAATTGGATTCACTCCAGCGAAGCGAGAGACAAACGCGATGAAGAGCTGATGGAGGGAGGGGATGCACAGGGGGGGAATTTGACAGAGACAGGTTTTGGGCCGCCTCAAAACATGGCGTCATCAAATGGGAGATGCACCGGCAACTCATTGACAAACGACACGATTGGTAGCGTTGATTCAGACAGCTTGCGATTCCGGTGGGCATGCTTCTTCAGAAACAGGACCGTGGGTTTGGCTCCAGCAGTATTCTAGGTCAACAAAAAAAAAAGGTATACACAAAGATGTATATGAATCAGGACAACGTGCCATGGCAAGACACGCCAAAGCTATACTAATGAGGCGCTCAAGCGAAGTGACTGTGAAGATGAAACACTGAGTTCACAATGCGGTTGTGGTCTCTTCTTACCTGGTTGATGGCGTTAAGAGCCTTGAGAGAATCAATGGAGTGCCTAGGGTGGGTGCACAAGGGGAGAATGATTGGTGGTGAAGGGGGGGAGGGAATGCACGAGTGCAAGAGAGAGCAGAAAGAGAGGGTATGTGGAGCTAGAGCCTTCAGAAAGTCGATACAACTGTTAAAGGTAAAGAAGAAGAAGAAAAACAAAACCCAAGCTGAGAGAAAGTTGCAGCAGCTGGAGTCTGGACGTCGGGAGAAGGCACAAGTGGTTGCAAGGAGGGTAGCTCACGAGGCCAGGAGAGCAGAGAGGAAAGGAGCCAAAGCCCGCCAGTCGTAAGCGATCTTGCGCATGATTGGCCGGCTCACGAACACCTGGCAGGCTCCCACTGCTGCCTCCTCCCTGTCCTCCTTCTCCTCCACTTCCTCTCCATCCTCTGCCGTTTTCATCTCCTCCACCTTCTCTTCCTCGCTCTCTTGCTTCTCTCGGTCACCATTGCCATCACCACCAATGCTGCCAGCACTCTTCCCCATCCTGAGCAGCCTTGCCACTGCACCTGCCTCCCCAGCCACACACGGCGCCAGCTGGCGCAATGCCGTGTCGACAGCTGGCGGGAAGCGCTTAAGAAGGAGCTCCAGGCTGGCACGCGCAACACTGGGAGGTGGGGAGAGCGGGACAGAGTGCCATGAGGAAAGAGATGACGTTTGGAAAGGGGACGGAGAAGCAGCAATAGCTGGCGGGAAAGGAGCGCTTAAGGGGGAGGTCCAAGCTGGCATGGCCGACGCTGGGAGGTGGTGCTTAGGGTATAGAATTTTGGAGCAAGGTTGGATGGGGGGAAACGAGGTTGAGGGATTAGGGGTGATGGTGGAGGGGTGATGGTGGAGGGGTGATGGTGGAGGGGTGAAGAGCATGAATGTGATGAGTGATTGATTAGTATAAGAATGAAAGGGTAAAAGGGGTGACGGTGCTGACTGATGGTGCTGACTGACGGTGCTGACTGACGGTGCTGACTTCACAGTAGCAGCAATAGATCTCCCCACCCTTCCCAGCCGCACTTGCAGGTCGCAACCCCAAGCCCTCTTTTTGAAGCACCCTCAACTCACCCCTGCACGGACGCATATCGGTGCACCGACAGCAGCAGCAGATTTCTCAGCAACACCTTCAATCAGCATACTTCGGCTTCTACCTTCTCCTTCCCTCCCATTTCTCCCCTTCCCCCCCAACCAACTCACCCCTGCACGGACGCATAACGGTGCACCGACAGCAGCAGCAGATCTCCCAGCAGCACTTTCACCGCCCTAGGGAGGGGCGGTGGGCGGCGCTGGCCGGCGTAGATTGTCTTGAAGTGCGCCTGAGAGGCCCTCCAGAGTAGATGCTCGTATGCCAGCTCTGCCAGCACCCACGGCGGCCTGACAGAGAAGTAGGGGGGATGGGGAAGGAGAGAGGGGAGTCAAGGTGGTTCAGAGGAGAGAGGGGAGTCAAGGTGGTGAAAGGGATGGTGGATATGGGTTACGGGGTGATGCCTGAAAGGCCCTCCAGAGTAGATGCTCGTATGCCAGCTCTGCCAGCACCCACGGCGGCCTGAGAGGGGAGGGAAAGCGCCATGGAGCCGGGGTGAGAGGAAAGGAGAGAGGGGATTCAAGGTGGTTCAGAGGAGAGAGGTGATGCCTGAACAGCTCTCCAGAGGAAGTGCTCTTATGCCAGCACTGCCAGCACCCACGGCGGCCTGAATGGTAAAAAGGAGACGAGGGAGGAGCGAGTGAAGGAGACGACTTGCAAGAGGACATTCGGGTATTGTCCCCAGGGTTGCTTGATGAGGGAAGGGAGGAAGGGCAGGGAAAAGAATTTGAGTTGGCAAAAACGAAAACACAAAAAAAGATCATGGTGTCAGCACATGAAGGCACTGCGTTCCCCCTCATCTCCTACAAACAGCCTTCCCCTGCCCTCACCTCCTACAAACAGCCTTCCCCTGCCCTCACCTCCCCTTCTCTGACCCCACCACCCTTTCCTCACCACCCTGTCCCCTGTTCCCTACCTTGCCTTCTACTCACTTCCTCCTTGTCTCTCCAGCCTTCATCCACAGTGACCCCTTAGGCTCTGACAGCAGCCCTGCCTGCTGCTGCTCCCTGTACACAGACCAATCAGTCCTGTTTTGAGTCGACTCAAAGAACCCCTACCCTCTCCCCCGGACCTTGCACCCCGCTTTTCTCACCTCCTCGTCTCTCCAGCCTTCATCCACAGCGACCCTTTAGGCTCTGACAGAAGCCTTGCCTGCTGCTTCACCACCCTCACACAGACATTTCTATCCCACCCTCGTCCCCTCTCAAACCCTGCCCTCCCTCACCTCCTCCTCGTCTCTCCAGCCTTCATCCATGGCGACCCTTTAGGCTCTGACAGAAGCCCTGCCTGCTGCTTCACCACTCTCAGCCCGTGCAGGGAGTCGGAGTACTCGAGTGTGCCTGGACAAAGGAAGAAGGCACAGAGCAAAGGGGGGAATGACGTTAGAATCCGAATAATCATGGAGTTGGAGTACTCGTGGCCTTCAGCCATGAGACTAGGCGAGCTGCAGCTTGAGACGTCTCAAAACAAGAATCCGAAAAATCATGAAGGAGTCGGAGTACTCGTGGCCTGGGACAACGAACGAGGGAAGAAGGCAGGCAGCAAGGGGGAAACTGGGGTTACAAAGTAAAGCGCTTACAGCAGCCCCCTCTGCTGCTTCACCGCCCTGAGCCCGTGCAGGGAGTCGGAAAACTCGTGCTTCTGCGACTGCTTCTCCTTCTGCCAGCAGCAGCACCCTTCAGAGTCAGGGCGTAATCATCAGGGCAGCACCCTTGTGTAATCATCCGAGATTCAGACATGTCTGGGCAAAACTAAGTGCTCAGCACCCTTGTGTAATCATCCGCAACACACACACGCGCCTCACACAACACCCCTTATGTCCCCAGCACATTCCTATTATCTAAAAAAACCCAACCAGCACCCTCCCCCCTCACCTGCGTTCAGCAGCAGCCCTTCCACTTCTGCCAGCAGCGTCAGCGTCTGAGTGTCGTCCCTCTGCCTTACAACCCACCACACGCACTCGTGTGCCACACTCACATCCCCTACACACGCAGCTCCCTGTGGGTGTGACACACCACACCAACTTTCTCCCCTCACCTGGGTTCAGCAGCAGCCCTTCCACTTTTGCCAGCAGCGTGAGCGTCAGAGTGTCGTCCCTCTGCCTTTCCACCCCCCACAAACACTCAAGTGCCTCACGTACCCCAACCCCTCACCTGGGTTCAGCAGCAGCCCTTCCACTTCTGCCAGCAGCGCCAACGTCTGAGTGTCATCCCTCTGCCGCCTCACCAGCCACACACAAGCCTCATGAAGCTCCCCAGAAGCTTCCTCCCGCATAGTAACATCGCCTATGGTCACTCCCGACCGTCCCACCACTGCTAGAGGGGTGCCTGGTGCCGTGGCGTCGGTGGGTGCGCCGGAGGCTTGGCTCCCGAACCTGGTGGTCAGGTCCGGGAGGTTGGTTCGGGTGCCGGAGAAAACGGCCCAGAGGCGACGAAGGGCCACTCGCCAGGCCAGTTTGGCTGGTGGGAGGGAGGAGATGCAGGAAAAGAGGGATGGGGGGGAAGATTGGGGTGGGGGGTGGAGACATGTATTAAGGGAAAAACGGAGAAAACGGCCCAGAGGCGGCGAAGAGCCACTCGCCAGGCAAGTTTGGCTGGAGGAAGGAGAACCACACATGGGGCGGAAAACAAATGTAAAAGGCGAGAAGAGTTTAGGAAAGAAATATGTGAAGGAAGGGTGAGGGGAGTGAGAGGGGGGTGAGGCGAGGGAGGCAGGAGATACACGGAAGGACTGAGGGGGGAGAAAGTGTTGCATGCAGTAAATTTGTGTTTTGAATCGACTCAAAACACGATACACGGAAGGACTGAGGGGGGAGAGAGTGGTCCATGCACTAGATTTTGAGTGGCAACGATTTAAAGACAGATGCTTAGACGATACAACCAACACAGCTCACCTCCCACCGCTGCTGAGCTGGCTGATGCTGACGTGGCGGGCCTTGTGCGCAACCACCGGATTTCCCTCAACGCGCCGCCCAGGTACTTGTCAATAAGCTGGGTGGCCAGCGTTGTCTCTTCTGTAGATGGCACGTGCCACTGGAGAGCTCCTGTTGCTGCCACTTGTCCTGCTGCTATTGGAGGCGCTGCTGCTGCTGTTGCTGATGCTGCTTGTTTGGAAAACCACCTCTCAACCCCTGGAGCTGAATCCTCCCAGCCCAAGAAACTGTGGATAGACAGGAGGGAGACAGCATAAGAACGGGCAACCAACCAGCGCGCAGGGACAAGAACAATTTGGGAAAATGTCTTAACCATAAGGTGCTTACAGAATAAGAATCAGCAAGAAGAAGCAATCCAGCAGAGTGGAGAGATAGAGAGCGTGCTCTTGAGCTCATGTAAACTTACGTGTATTTATTCAAGGGGTAATAGAAGACGAGCGCGAACAGGAACTGACTTTTGAGTCGACTCTTGAGTCGAAGTCGACTCAAAAGTTAAACTTACGTGTATTCATTCAAGGGGTAATAGAAGATGAGCGCGAACAGGAACTTCTGAAGCAGATCCGCTGCTGCGTCAACCACCTGTGAGGGAGGGTAACCAGGGAAAGGGAGGGCGTGATCACTGAGTAAGCACATACTAACGGAACCTTTATTAGCTGCTTTGATGAGACGAAATTGTGGCTGCTGCAAGCATTGTGCTTTAGCGATACGATTTTCAGGAATTTACAGAACAAATTTGCAAAACGCACCTTCTGGGAGGTGGATGAGAAGGCAGCATCGATAAGCGCGATGAGGCGGTCCTTATGTGCTATCAGAGCAGAGCCACTAAAGGGGACAGCGTTGCTGACGAGGTGCATGTGGAAGAGAACCGTAGCCTCCTGAGTTGTCGACAGCTGATTGGCTGGGAGCTGAGAAGGAGCAAGAGGGGAGGGGGAAGGTCGGCAGGCAACAGTAAGGAAAGTGAGATGATGGAGATGGTAGGGAAACGCAACGCATGAACAGGGGCTGAAAGTCAGAGAGATGTGAAAGGAAATGTTACGCAGGCAACCATTACTGCTCTTTTCTTTACTGCTCGTCCTCACCACTCTTCACCGCTCGACACCCCACTCTACCACTCACTTTTAGTGCCTCTCCTGCATCCGCAGCAGCAGCAGGGGACTCAGCGAGCCCCAGGAATGACGTGGCAGGCAGCGATTGGAGGAGGGACATGGCAGAATCCATGACTCCGGCAAGGATCCGAGTGCAGGTGGCCTCAGGAGCAGCATAGGCCAGCGCTGCTACGAGTGTGCCGATCTCCTCCTCACACCCGCGGACGACAGAGCTGGATACATAGCGCTCCACCCTTGAGATGATCTGTTGGGTGGTCAGGAGAGGAATGGGGGAAAGGTATCCCATACTATAAGGGCTCGGGAGCAGCATAGGCCAGCACTGCTGCCACTGTTCCAATCTCCTCCTCACACCCGCGGATGACAGAACCGGATACGTAGCTCTCCACCCTTGAGAGCACCTGTTTGGCGCGTAGGGCAGAATGAGGAAAGAGCAATTTCATGCTTTTCGGCCGCAAGAGCAACATTTATTTAAGGCAGCGCTACCACCACTGTCTCAATCTCCCCCTCACACCCACGGACCACAGTGCTGGAGACATAGCGCTCCACCCTTGACAGCACCTGGAGGGAAAACACACAAAGCGGGGATTGATTGGAGAAGGGGCAAGAGAGGAGGAGAGGCTAGAGGAGGAATCGGGCGCAGCATAGGACAGCGCTGCCAGCACTTTGCCGGACGAGTGGGAGGCGAGAAAGGAAGGAAGCGAGTGAGAGAATAGTAAGGAAGCGAATGAAGGAAAAGAATGAGAAACTGGGGAGTTACCTGATTGAGGAGAGGAGGAGAGAGGCGGGCGAAGAGAATGCTGACGGTGGAGCGGAAGGTTGATCCCTCCGCCTCCTTCATGAGGAAAGACCTGCCGGATAGAGAGGAGGGAGGGGAGTGAACGGGAGAGGGCGAGGGGGGGCATGGGAGACGCCATCCCATCATGGTGACCAGGATGATGAGATGATGAGATCATCACAGTCACCATGATGGGATGGCGAGCCTTTTGGCGCGGGATAACACGGCGACGGTGGAGAGTCGTTGCTCGCACAATCTTTCACGACACGCGACCGATGAATCTTTCGCCCTGTCATCTATGATGCTCGACCAGTGACCCTGGAGTCCACGGAATGGATGGTTACACACGAGAGGAATGCGGTTACACCACAACTTCTCACCTCTCAGTGCCTGCTGCAGCGCTCGCCACAGTAGCAGTGGGAGCAGCACTCTCCAAGTGAGAGAAAAGGGAGAAGAGGCGCGAGAGAAAGTCCTCCAGCCACGTGGACCAATCAATGGAGAGCGCAAAAGGGCTTTCCTCGTCCCCTATTGGACCGATCTGAGGGGCAGAAGAGCAGAGACACGCATGGGAAAGATGAAAGAGGAGAGGGAACCGGGTGGCACGAGGAAGAGAAATACAATTCCTTTCATCAATTCAGTACAACTAACAGTTCATAAGGTAGCATATCAGAGACATGTTAAAGAAAACATCTAAATACATGAGGCATCCCAAGATACCCACATCCCAAGATAACCACATCCCAAGATAACCACATCCCAAGATAATCACATCCCAAGATAACCACATCCCAAGATAATCACATCCCAAGATAACCGCATCCCAAGATAACCACATCCCAAGATAACCACATCCCAAGATAACCACATCCCAAGATAACCACATCCCAAGATAACCACATCCCAAGATAACCACATCCCAAGATAATCACATCCCAAGATAACCACATCCCAAGATAACCACATCCCAAGATAACCACATCCCAAGATAACCACATCCCAAGATAACCACATCCCAAGATAACCACATCCCAAGATAACCACATCCCAAGATACCCACATCCCAAGATAACCACATCCCAAGATAATCACATCCCAAGATAACCACATCCCAAGATAACCACATCCCAAGATAACCACATCCCAAGATACCCACATCCCAAGATAACCACATCCCAAGATACCCACATCCCAAGATAACCACATCCCAAGATAACCACATCCCAAGATAACCACATCCCAAGATAACCACATCCCAAGATAACCACATCCCAAGATAATCACATCCCAAGATAACCACATCCCAAGATAATCACATCCCAAGATAACCACATCCCAAGATAACCACATCCCAAGATAATCACATCCCAAGATAACCACATCCCAAGATAATCACATCCCAAGATAACCACATCCCAAGATACCCACATCCCAAGATAACCACATCCCAAAATAACCACATCCCAAGATAACCACATCCCAAGATAACCACATCCCAAGATAATCACATCCCAAGATAACCACATCCCAAGATAATCACATCCCAAGATAACCACATCCCAAGATACCCACATCCCAAGATAACCACATCCCAAGATAACCACATCCCAAGATACCCACATCCCAAGATACCCACATCCCAAGATAACCACATCCCAAGATAACCACATCCCAAGATAACCACATCCCAAGATAACCACATCCCAAGATAACCACATCCCAAGATAATCACATCCCAAGATAACCACATCCCAAGATAACCACATCCCAAGATAACCACATCCCAAGATACCCACATCCCAAGATAACCACATCCCAAGATACCCACATCCCAAGATAACCACATCCCAAGATAACCACATCCCAAGATAACCACATCCCAAGATAACCACATCCCAAGATACCCACATCCCAAGATAACCACATCCCAAGATAACCACATCCCAAGATAACCACATCCCAAGATAACCACATCCCAAGATACCCACATCCCAAGATACCCACATCCCAAGATAACCACATCCCAAGATAACCACATCCCAAGATAACCACATCCCAAGATAATCACATCCCAAGATAACCACATCCCAAGATAACCACATCCCAAGATAACCACATCCCAAGATAACCACATCCCAAGATACATACAGAGGAGAAGATAGAGGAGGTAGAGGTGCAGGGTGGCGAGCCTCTTGGACGAGTCATGGGCATCAATCCCAGGAAACTATGAGACGGTTCAAAGAACATCCCAAGCTACATACATCCCATCCCAGTACACATACCGAGGAGAAGACAGAGAGGTAGAGATGCAGGGTGGCGAGCGTCTTAGGCGGGTCATTGGCGTCAATCCCAGGAAGCGTCGCCACCAGCGCTTCAGACACTACCTCCCTCGCCCGCCCAATCATCTTCTGCCATGTGTCCATGCCACCCTCCCCAGCCCCCACTGCTGCTGGTCCATCCACATCCATAGATTCAGGTGTGCTGTCTTGCTCCGAGGGGGTTTGCGAAGCAGCGAGCAGCAAGGGGCGGACGGAGAGGGCGAGGGTGGAGAGGGCGGACTCGAGCTGGTGTGTGGCTGTGACCTGATGGCAGCGAGTGGAGGAAGAGAAAGGAAGGAGCAGAGAGGGTTTGGGAGAGGGAGAAAAAGGGCAGCTATGACAGGCGAGGGTGGCGAGGGCGGATTCTAGCTGGTGTGTCGTTGTGACCTGATGGTGTGGGGGGGGGAGGAGAGGACGAGGAGAGAGGGCGAGAATAGTGAGGGAGGTGAGAGGCTGATATAAGTCCAATAAAAACATTATAACAGAAAGGCACAGAGAAGTACAGAGAGGTACAGAGAGTCACTACTCGAATGCAACTCACAGTTGTCAGCGTCCCCTGGAAGCTCTCCAAGACCACTGGGAGGAGAAGCGAGGAGAAGCGAGAGGAGGGAGGGTACGACGAGGTACAGAGAGGCACAAAGAGAAAATGAGGGGTACAGGGAGGTACAGAGAGGCACTATAGGAGTGCTACTCACAGTGGTTAACGCCCCCTGGAAGCTCTCCAGAACCACTGGAAGGGTGACACGTGGCGCCAGGTAGGACAGCGAGGCAGCCACGCGGGAGGCGACGGCAGAGAGGGTGGGGCTCTTGCTGAAGAGAGCGCGGTTGTGGATGAGACGGGTGAGCAGACGGATGAAGGCAGCAGTGGTGGCAGGGGTGAGCGCGGATGGGGCGTCGGAGGTGTACCTGTGTGGAGCAACGGGGGGGATGGGATGCGAATATCATGGGGAGAAGGAAAAGAAACGGTAGAGGGAATTGGGAGTCCTTCTGGAGAGAGTGCGGTTGTGGATGAGATGGGTAAGCAGGCGGATGAAGGCAGCAGTGGTGGCACCATGGAAGGCGGACCAGAGGGGTAAATGGATGAAAGAATAGCACCCTTCTCCCACACTCCCTCAACTCAATCACTCACCTGTCACTCCACACATACTCCCTGAACGCACTCACCTGTCACCGTAGATTTTCTTCTCTGCAGCAATCCTCTTCATGAGGTGATAAGTAGCCGAGTGAATCATTTTCTCCAGCAGCCCCGTCCATTCTCCACCGTTGGATGGGTGAAAGAACTGCTCCAGATCGTTCGATAGCTTATCAAACAGCCGCAGCACCGACGACGCTCCTCCCTGCATCTCCATGGCTCGGTCCGAGCCCGAAGCAGGAGTTTCGGCATCCAAACCATGGGCGGCAGATTCGGGGTTTGCCAGCAGCCAGACAACAAGCTTGGCGCCAGCTACGGCCCGAACCACCTGCTGCTGGTGCGGCACTCTGCGCTGCTGCCACCTGTCAAGCAGTGATAGGAAGACACGCGCGCACGCTGGAGAGACGGGGCGCTCAAGTTGTGCTGACGTGGCGGACGGGGATTGGCCAATCGGAAGGGAGAAAGATTCGAGAACCTTCTGGAACAGAAACGGAAGGTGAGGGGTCCAGATGGAGAGGAGGGATGCGGGAGATGAGGTAGAGGAGGAGGTGGTGGTTTGGTGCTGGTGGCGTAGCTGCTGGTGTTTAGCTAAGCGTGCGAGGAGAGAGATCCACTGAGCGTCCCAGAAGGTGCAGTGGGGAATAGAGGACCACAATGAAAGCCACTCCGGCACCCAGACACTGCAGAAGGGATGAACAGTAAAACGAAAGCAGGAGAAGAAAGAACGAAATCAAGCAACAGAGTAACAAAGGAGAGTGAATAAAAATACATGTATAAAAGAAGAGAAGTAATGCATCTAGAATGAATTAAATAAATATATACATAATATATATCAAAGAAGAGAAGTAATGCATCTGGCCCACACACTGCACTGCAATGCCACAACCCCAACCCTCACCTCCATTCAGCAGAGGCATCATCCTCGTGTGGTGCCATGTGGCGACACGTGGTTGGCAGCAGCAGATTCAGCAGAGCCGCTGCCTCCAGAGCATCATTGCTGCTGACATCAGCGAACTGTGGCCTGACGAGGGGAAGGGAGGGTAGAGAGAACGGAGGGGGAGGAAAATGGGAATGGGAAGGCGGGAAGGGACCGGGAGGTGGAAGTGAGGATGTGCGGACGTGATACAGCTGGGGGAAAGGTGGGGAGACAAGTTAAATGGAACACAGAGGCACACAGAAGCACACATGCTATAATGTTGTTCTGGTGGGCATGTGCCAGTACACATGCTAGGGAGCTGTATGTTTATGAACAAGCACTACCACTTACCAAAAAAAAGGAAACCGAACCTGGGCGCACCTGCGAGCAACAGAGGCGCACCTGAAGAAGGCCCAGATGACAGCAGCAGAGCCGGGGGGAAGAACCTTCTCGGCAACCTGACGAGCTGCACATGAGAGCAGCAGAGGCCCACCTGAGAGCAACAGAGGCCCACCTGAGAGCAACAGAGGCCCACCTGAGGAAGGCCCAGATGTCAGCAGCAGAGCCAGGCGGGAAGAACCTTCTCGCCCGCCTGATGAGCTCTGTGATGGCGTTGATGTGAATCTGCAGCAGCGCCGCTCCCACGTAGCCAGGCAGGGGGGTGGACCCTCTGTAGGCAGCAGCATGGGGTGTAAAGGTTCAGGGTACAGGGTTCAGGGTTCAAGGTTCAAGGCCCACAACAGAAGGGAAAGGGTAAAGGGTACAGAGGGTTAGGTCCCAGGGTGCGACAGACACTCCAGGTCTCAAGGTGCGACAGACAGGGGGGTAGAATCTCCTTGACTGCCTGATGTGCTTATTTATAGTATTTAAGTGATTCTGCAGCAGAGAAAATGAGCATCATGCAAGGTGAAAAGGGAGAGATGGGAGGTGCAAAGAGAGAGGAGTATAACGTGTGGAGCAGAGGGGCGGGGTGATACGTTTGGTGCAGAGGAGTGGCGCATCACGTACGGAGCAGAGGGGAGGTGTATAGCGAGGATGGAGTAGAGCGGGCGCCAGGGAATGGATAGGGAGAGCGAGAAGCGGTGCTTGCGCAGGATGCGGGAGAGGCACTGCGACCAACGGATCTGAGCCACAGCCAAAACAAGGAGAGGGGAGAGAGGGAAAATGAAGAAAAGCTAGCAGGAAACGTTACCAAAAAACGAAATCACGTAACCAGAAAAGGAAGAATAAGAGAGACAGACAGAATTGAAAAAAAGAAAGAAACGAAGGAACTGTTAGGTGAACGAGAGAAGGCCTACCTGAATGAAGAGATCCCTAGGGCCACGGCAGCTTGTGATTATATCGAGGGCAGTCTCTGACACAAGCTCCAGGTCAGGGACCTCCAGACGAGACTTGGACGCCACGAAGCTGCAACAGTCGGGTGGAACAGGATGTGGACCCCAAAAAAGGAGATGAGGTGTACTGTTACAGCACGTCTTCAAACGCAACAAACGACCTCTAGAAGTAAGTGTAACGTCTCGGAATGCAAAGCTGGCTGTCGGTACTAGTTCCTGACACCTCAAAACTCAACAATGACTGACAGAATAACGTCATAATCCCTCATTTTTCCACACGGATTGCAAGATTTGATCCTTAACTGAGCATTAATTGAGCGAAATTACTCAGTGACGACGAAACGAGATATGCGAAGCTCCCTTGCTGGCGCGGTGCGACATGAATCCACTAGAAAAAAAAACACTTTAAAAGACTGCGACCCGTGTCTCCGCCATGACCCGGCTCCTTCCCGCTTATCCTGAATTATCTCAGCGTGAAACCGAGACAATACCTATTGACAACGGAGACCCATTTCAGAGTCTCTCCCCCGTGGCCTTGCTCCTTCCCGCGCTTCCACGCAGCCTGAACCTCCTCAGCAACAGCGTGGAACCTTCCAGGCTCCTCGCTAGTCGCCTGTGCTGCCACGTCAGGCGGCAACCAGCTATTGTTCGGATGGACGTACGAACCCATGACAAATTCGTGATTTTTTTTTCCAAGAAAGTATCTCTAACTGCTTGAGAGAACTAATCGAAGACGAGCGGTACACGGCGGGGACAGGATATGTTAGGACCGTGACGAATAGCGGAGTTACGCACTCCAGAAAAATTGCCACCCGCAGATCCTCACAATCAGCCGAATATACTGTTCTAAAAAGCTTGCCGAGAAAACAAAATTTATTCGAAGCAAGGCTAGAACAGGCAGGCAAATCTGATGCTAAGCTTCGAAACAACCATGTGAAACGGAACCCTCTGATTTACAATCAACAATGTCGATGCATTTGAAAGCAACTGGGCGCTCCCTGAAGTATCTCAAGGCAGATGGAATCTGATGCTGATAAAAGGGAGATGCCATCTTAGTGCCAGGCAGGTTTGAATTGGATTTCGCAGGATGGAAGTGTGGTTTGGGAGCGGAAGCAGAGGCTGGGAGGGAAATGAGCAGCTCTCCCTTGCGAGCGTGAGCGACGTGTACCGAGAGGGTTACTCAGCTCGTTGACCAATTGCATCGTGGTTGCGTGTTGGCTTTCTGGAAGTCTACGATGATGGTCGACTCTCGGGTTGTCCATTGATCTGATCTGACAGTGGAGATGTTGATCATCCATCTGCAATGCACTTAACCGCTGCAAGTGAAGTTGATCTCCGCACTCGCCTGCAGAAACAGCACTTCGTCACGCTGACGAGAACTTGTGAAGCTGGAACCTCGAGGAAATTGCAATCACCGCAGAAAGTTCTGCCTGTTTTCGGCGAAAGAATTTCCCGCGACAGCTACACAGCTGTTGCGTCATCCTGCGACACGCGACGCTGGTTCTGCAGTCTCCGGCGTTATCTAAACCCTCGAATACATTGTATCGCGAGGTGTACGAAGCTTTGTTCCGTGCCGCGACTGCGCATAACGCACGACACGCCGTTACCAGCACCCCACCCGTTCTAAATGTATTCGAGCTAGTAATTCCTGTTCTTAGGTCTTGAAGAATGGTACAGGCCCACATGGTGTCCCAGCATAGCTATCTGTAGCGATGTGCTTCTAACGAATGGCGCAGGCGACGCGTTTCGGAGTTTCGACAGAACCAACGCAAAGCTCTAGCTCTTCAGATCCCACAACCAGAAGCATCGCTATAGTCACTCCTGGCCGAGCAGCGGAGGGCCGCGACACGAAAAACACAGCCTGTACGGCAAACGAGGAAGGTAATAGCGAGTCAGACGCAGCAGAGAAAGCAGTGGAGAACCCTAGGTTCGCAGATGAACAGACGAGTTCAGTAACTTCGCCTAACACAGTTAGGACTGTAGAAGCCGAGTCGGATGGCCTCGAGTCGCTATCGAAGCCTCTGTCGGAGATGATGGCGGCTCTTTCGCTTGTGGTGGAAGGAGAATTGCAGGTGAGGATGACGTGGCATGTGATGATGACGTGGCATGTGATGATGATGTGTCATGTTGTGGCGCGTAACCAGTTTACCTTTTGACGGTCCTAACCGTCGACGGTTAATGTCACTGCCTCCTCTTCCCCCCCCTTGCAGGCTCACACTACCCCCTCTTACCAGCGTCTCACTCACTTAAACCTGGAAGCATCAGCAGATGCCGAGCGTCTCGCTGACCTGGCGGTCGGCGTGGGCGTCTTTGTGCGCTGCCAGCTGGCGGCGCGGGCAGCAACACTTCGGCAGCTAGTGGCGGAGGCGGAGGAGGCGGAGCGGCAGCTTGCTGACCTGGAAGGAGTGGTTGTTGAGCTGGATAGATTCACTGGGAAGCTTGAACAAGCCGTGGCAAAAGCCCTTAGGGAGGGGGTGTGATAGTAGCAAAGGGGGGAAAGGTCACCTGGAAGGGGTGTTTGTTGAGCTGGATTGATTCACCGGGAAGCTAGAACGAGTTGTGACAAAAACCATTAGAGAGGGGATGTGATTGTAATGAAGGACTGGGGGGATGGGATGTGATTATAGCAACAGTGTAGCAACTGCTGTACAGTGGTTGTTGAGCTGGATAGATTCACTGGGAAGCTGGAATGAGCTGTGGCAAAGGCCATTAGAGATAGGGTGTGATTGTAATGAAGGGGGGGGTGTTGGGGGAGGCGGTGATGGGATGTGATGTGATTATAGTTTCAGTGTAACAGATGCTGGAAGGAGTGGTTGTTGAGCTGGATATATTCACTGGGAAGATGGGGAGCTGTGGCGAAATCCATACAAGACGAAGTGTGATTGTAATGCCGCTAATTCCGGAAAAAAACTACGGTACAACACTAATTTTCACTCGACTATGGCTCTGACAGGCCGGCACTATGAGCCTGCCTGTCAAAAGCACCCTATCCCATAAATATGAATTGAGCTAATGTTTCTGTCTCTACATATTCCATATAATTTATGTTAGAATTTGAAGTGATTGAGTAGGATCCTATACTTAGGATGATAGCTCCCTGTCGTAGCGGAAGTCTTTGTATGAGTTAAAGCCAGTGTAAGAAACTTTCTGGACTAATATAAGCCCATGTAGTGATATGTTTCAGGATCTATGTCTCTGAAATCAGATATATTATAAAATGACAAACATACAGAATATATAGCTAGAGTAAAGTACCTATTCGCATACTGTACTGTGCTATTCACGCTATTCGTGTTCTGAAACGGTACGTGACTATTTGCGAGGCCCATAGCTACGTGCTGACGTCATCCTAGGGCGCGTAGTGCTTTGCTGACGTCATCCTATCGGTACTTAACTATTACGTGCGAAGTCTCGCACTGTACTAGCTGCACTACACGAATTCCTTGAAGTGCTTAAGTCTCGATATTATCTCAACACTCCCCTTCACTTCTAGGAGTTCGATGTAGTTACCCGGTTGCCTCAGAAACGCCGCAGAGCTGGTTGCAGTGGTGAAATTTCTGTCGTGTCAGTTTCTTGGTAAGTGAGTCAGCTGCCATGTCACCAGTGGGACAGTAGACAAGGCGCATTCTCCCCTTGTCGATCGCATCCTTGACGAAAAAGTAACGCAGTGAGATGTGTTTCGTGCGATTGACGAAGCCGGGCTTGTTGGCGATGGTAATTGCACTCTGGTTGTCGCACTGCAACGTAAACTGATTTGGCGTGACGAACTTTGCTTCATCGAGCAGTTCCTGTAAGTATAATCCTTCTCGGGTTGCAGCACACGCGGCAATGAATTCTGCTTCAGCCGAGGAAAGTGACACGAGTTCCTGTTTCGATGAGTTCCACGAGATCGGGCCAATTGGCTCGAGACGGAAGATGTAGCCTGTTCGTGACCGACGATCTGACGTGTCACCAGCGTGGTCTGCGTCGACATATCCGCTGAGGTACATTTTGTCGGTCAGTTTTCCTGTGTTGAAAATCAGCCCGACTGTTGGTGTTGCGACAAAGTAGTGTAGAGCGCGCTGAAGGTCGAGATGGTGTTCTTCTTTCGGGCAGCGTAAAAATTGTGCGAGATAGCTTGCGACGTAAGCAAGGTCGGGACGGCATGTGACTGCTGCGAAGAGAAGACACCCAAGTTGCTGCTGGTACAGTTGTAGGCCAGCTGCTGAAAGTTTGGTGTTGTTTAGGTCGTGCCCGGTGGGTGTAGATCGATAGGGTGTAGCGACGTGATCTGTAGGAATTTTGAAACGCTTAGCGAGCGACTCAGCATACTTCGATGCTGTGAGGTGAATGACGGAGGAGGTTCGCGAAACGTTTAACCCAAGAAATTGGGTTACTTCGGTGGAGACAGTTAAATCGAGAGATTTCTTCAAATCTGCTTCGATGCGATCACCGAAGGAAGCCGAAGAGCTGACGTAGAGAATGTCATCCACGTATGCCACGAGCAGCGCGTAGCTCCCCATGTCGTCTAGCCGATACATCCCGGGATCATGCGGCAGTTGTCGGAACCCAACTTCTGTAAGTTTCCTGTTCAAATGCTGTTGCCACAGTCGCGGTGCTTGTTTGATACCGTACAGTGACTTTTTGAGCTTGTAGACACTTGGCGGATTTGTCGGATAGGTGTGCGGATATTCGACGTAGATTTCAGCATCGACGTCAGCGTATAGAAACGCGTTGGAAACATCGATTTGTCGAAGCGGAAAATTCTTCGCAGCTGATTCGCAGATGACGAGACGAACACTTGTGTGTCGGCTGACCGGGGCAAAAGTTAGCGTGTAGTCGACCCCATGAGTTTGGTCAAAACCGCGAACAACCCACCTTGCCTTATGTTTTTCGTAAGAGCCATCAGCTTTCGTCTTCACCCTGAAGACCCACTTTCCGGTAAGAATATTTTTATTTACAGCTTTCTCGATGGGTATGAGCTCCCAAGTCTCCCGTTTTTTCAGGGCAGCCAATTCACGATCCATAGCTTCACGCCGTTTTTCGCGATGTGGTCCTGAAAGAGCCTGTCGGGCAGTTTTTGGTTCTGCGACATCTGTAGAATTGTGCTGTACAGCTGCTGCGAGTCCCAGTATCTGAAGCCCAGTTTGATAATTAGGACTGTCTTCGGTCCGACCTGCGAAATTGACAGGTTCACTCTGTTCACCACTTGCCCCCCCAATTTCGTCAGGATCGACGCAGATGCTGCTGTCAGTTACAGCTGGCATGGGACGTCGTTGGTTGTCCACCAAGTAAGTATGATGAACTTCACGAACGTCTTTTGAATTGGCGTCGACGAGAGGACTGAATTCCGGAGATCCGGAAGAAGTGGTTGGTATAGGTGGATCGAGAGCAGCTTCACGTGCATCATTGAGGTCAGGTTCTTCGCTGGCAGCGAGTTCGGCGTCAGTGGTAGCGAATGAACGAACACCGTGGAAAAGAGTAGCAGGGTCACGCTGCGTGGCAAGATATTGTTCGAAAGTAGGAAGGGTCAGATTTTCGTAGAATATACAGTCACGGGCAGGAACCAGAAGGCGACTGCAATAATCCATGATGCGCCAGGCAGAAAACTCTTTCTCGAGGCCGAGATGAAGACCCCACTTAGCACGTTGATCAAAGTTTCCGAGTGGAGCAGTAGGAGGACGGTATTGCACAACACACCCGAAAACTCGAAGAAGTTTTGTAGTGCCCAATTTTCCTGTCCACAACAAGTGAGGTGATGCATTGTTGGGTAGAGCTGATGAAGACAGGAGGTTATGCAACAGCGTTGCATGGGCCATCGCGAAGGGCCAGTAGAGCGGGCCGAGCTGGGACTGGGCGAGCAGAGCTCGCATCTTTTCTTGCAGAGTTCGATTGAGGCGTTTTGCTACACTGCTCTGTTGGTGAGCGTGAGGAAGTGAGAATAGGCGCCGTATGCCGCGTTCTTGCAGGTACGTTGTAAACTCGAGACTCCGATATTCCCCAGCTCCGTCACACTGGAAGGATTTCAATTTGGTGTCGGACTCGCGTTCTGCGAGAGGTAGCCATGTTCGAAACGCTGTGAAGGCAAGAAAACGGTTAGTCATGTTACCAGTCCAGACATATCGAGTAGAAGCTTCAGTAAACGTGATGACGTATTTCTCGCCATTGAAACCCTCCGTAGGTAAGTTTAGAATATCGCTGTATACTTTTTCCATCAAGCGATAATCCTCAGCGCCAGGAAAATGAGACGGGTACGGTTCGTGCGGTAGATTTGCTGCCGGGCAGATTAAGCAGGGTGACGGACGATTGACCGGTTTCATTTCGAGGCCGCCAGGTAAGAGAAGCGAATTCTTGTCGAGAACAGCAGCTTTGATTGTGTTGTTGAGCGTAGACTGAGACGGATGACCAAGACGCTTATGCCATGTGTCTGAAGTAGCTTTGTGTCCTTGTGCGCGCAGATAATGATCGGCATTAGCGAAGAAAGACAACAGCAGCCGATGACCGTCAGCGCGAACATGATATGTGACAAGCGGGATGAACTCGGTAAGGTTAGGTGGTGGAATTTTTATTTCAACGTCGACGTATTCGCCAGGTGAAAGAACTAACTCCCCGCTTTCTTGATCTGATGCTGCAGGTTTAGGCTCAACGCCGACAAGTCGTCCGGAGTCGAGGACTTCCATGTCAGCGACACGCTGCTCTGCTTCAGTGAGAAGACGTCGATCACAATCAGCAGGTGTTTCTCCCCAAGTGGTCTCGTCAGGTTCCTGTGCCCCCCAAGTGCCTTCACCAGTGGGCATATTCGTCGTATCTCCCCAACCACCAACTTGAGCAAGATAGTCGCGGGAGTTCTGAACGTCATTCAGGCCTTGATTGTCAAAGGTCAGCATGACATCGGCAGCCGTGGTTGAAGACGTGGGTACAACTCCCTCACGAGGAATGGTATCATTGGTGTAATCAATGTCATCGCGATGCTCCCATGGGCCAAGAGAGAGAATATTTTCGGAGTCGGCAGTGGTGCGCTCAGATACGAAGTTGAGGACGAATACACCATTCTGTTCGATTGCCGTGCCGAGTTTCCTGTCTCCATATTTCAAAGTAAATTTTCCAGGTTCGCCAAGAAGAGTAATCCCATTCCGCATGAGCTGTGCAGATGACATCAGATTGAAGCTAAGTCGAGGAACGAGAAGTACATCGTTAAGGTGAAGACTGAAGTCTTCTTCAACGGAATCAAGAATGATGTTACCCATCCGTTGTGCTGTAAGGCGTTGATTGTTGGCGACTGTGACAACGCACGGGTTCTGAAGATGACGCTGATTGATGACGAAACGATTTTATGAGGAACACATATGCTGGCCGCAACAACTGTCGAGATACCATGTGTTGGGACCTTCCAAGGTATGTGCAAGGTTGGCGTAGACCTCGGGTGGTATGGGCGTATTGAGTTCATCGTTGAAGTTATTATGAACACGGTCTTCGACGTCAGGATCGTAGACGGTAGAAA